CCACCACTAACAGGCATAGATAAAGGGTTTTTTTCAAATCCAAGTAGATTGAGCCTGACCCTCCCCACCTCCCTACCTCCCCCCCCCCCACTCCCCCAGCTGAGTGAAGAAAGGGCACTGCCAATCAACCAGCCCTTCTGGAGCTTCCTTGCTAGACCCTGCAAGAAAGCACAGTGTGTTGCTTGGAAACGGTAACCAGGGGTGCTCTCCAGATGTGTGTACACAGCTAGAAAGCCAAGAAAAGTCCAGATGACCCAGCAGAGGTACACGGGGGAGGAGCTGACATGAGAGACTGATGGAGGGGCCAGGGAGAGAAGGTAGTTGTCTCCAGGAGAAAAATCCCTTGTTTCAGGAAGAATATGATTTCCTGATCTACTAAGCTTTCAGGAACTTCCAGGCCATGCCCTTCCCTCCTGTGTGTGTGTGCGTGTGTGTGTGTGTGCGTGTGTGTGTGTGTGTGTGTGTGTGTGTGTGTGTGTGTGTGTGTGTGTGTGATGTATGGATGCACACACACCATGGACAATGTGTGGAGGTCAGTGAGTCCTCTCAGGCGTGGACAGCAAGCACCTTTAGCAGCTGAGCCACCTCACCCTTTGAACATCTGCCCTTTCCCCGGCTAGACTTGAATGTGTTATTTGCTATGTAGCCAAAGATGACCCTGAACTTCTGATCTTCCTGTCTCTACCACCTCCCAAGTGCTAGGATTGCAAGCCTGTGCCATCAGCCCTGGTTTATGAGACCTTGGGCTCAAACCCAGGGCCTTCTGCATGCTAAGCAAGCCCTCTACCAACTAAGCTACATGCCCACCCTCTTTTCCAGGGCTCTTTTCTCCATCTCTCTATGTTCTCGAGGAGCACACCCCAAAGCAGGTCTTGAGATATGGGGGAGAAGTTGTGGAGGAAGAGGACAATGCCCCCCCTTTTCTAATGGGCAGGGCTGCACTTCCCTTCTCTCTCTGTGCGCGCAGAGTGGAGACTTGCTTCTCAAAGGCAGCAAAAACACTCCAGGGACTCAGAAATGGTGATGGGCGAGGTGCTGTTGTTACCCACAAAGGCTGATCTAGCTGAGAACCAGAAGCCAAAAAGCAGAACTCTGGGAGCTGGGACACCCTCCAGCAAGTTGGGAACCCTTCCCCACTGACCCCTTACCACTGACCCCTCTCCCACACACACCTCCTGACTTCCCTGCGGAGGTCACTGCAGGAGACCTGCTCTTGAATGTTACTAGACAGTGAATCCCCTTTATTGTTTTGTAAGTTTTCTGGGTTTTGAGCTGTGTGCTGAGTGAATCTGAAAATAACAAAAAAGGAACTGTCAGAAGCACCTCTGGTGTTGCCCTGGTGCCCCTGAGAACTTCCTCTAGAACATTCTGACAGTGTTGGTTTTTTCATGGGTTTCTCAGTAAAAAATGTCAAAGTCTGAAACAAAACAAAACGAGGGTACATAGCCATGCAAGCGCTTGTGAGTGAAGGTTTATTTATTTATTTATTTATTTTTCGAGATAGTTTCTCTGTGCAACAGCTCTGGCTGTCCTGGAACTCACTCTGTAGACCAGGCTGGCCTCGAACTCACAGACATCTGCCTGCCTCTGTCTCCCAAGGGCTGGGATTAAAGGCACCAGGCCAAGTGAAAGTTTTTCAAGACAGGGTTTCTCCTTGTAGCTTTGGAGCCTGTCCTGAACTCACTTTGTAGACCAGGCTGGCCTCGAACTCAGAGATTTGCCTGGCTCTGCCTTCCAAGTGCTGGGATTAAAGGTGTGTGCCACGACCACCCGACAACAATTAAACATTTTATATTTACATGTGTCTGTGTGCTGTAGTGCACATGTCATGTCAGAGGTCGGCTTGCAGAAGCCATTCTCTCCCTCCACTCCGTGGGTCCCTGGAATCCAACTCAGGTCATCGGGCTTGATAGCAAATAACTTTACCCTCTGAACCATCTCTTCAGCCCAGAAATTTCATTCATAAATACTGAAACCTAGAAACAACCAAGATATCCTAACATTCAACAGGTGACCGGCTACACAAACTGGGCGGGCATCCACACAAGACTTTGTTTGCCTTGGTTGGAATCCAACCTGGGATGTTGCTTGCTCAGCTCCTGAGCGATGCTCCAGCCACACAGGTGGACACTGTTCACTCCCCACAAGAAGCTGTGGTACTTAGAAGTACCTCGCTAAGTGACAGAAAGCTCCAACAGGGAGGGACCTGCTATGCCCCAGGGTCTGAAACAGTAGTGACTGTGGATCAAAACAGACCCTCAAGCAGTTATTTGGTGAACTTAAGAATGAGAGCAAGGAGCATGAAAAACAAGGCTCTCATCTCTGACTCCTAAAGAAAACAGCTAAGTGTGGTGGCTGGAGCCTGCAATCCCTGAACTCAGAAAGCAATGGCAGAAGAATTACCATAAGCCAGAGTTTAACCTGGTCTACTCAGCAAGCTCTGACTAGCCAGGACTACACAGTGAGAACCTGTCCCAAAACAAAAACAAATACAAAGTCAGAGGCCGGAGAGATAGCTCAGTGGTTAAGCCCACTGGCTGCTCTTCCACAGGTCCTGGGTTCAATTCCCAGCAACCACGTGGCAGTTCACAACAGTCTGTAACTCCAGTTCCAGAGGACCTGACACCCTCACACAGACATGCATGCAGGCAAAACATAAAATAAGAATAGTAAAATCATTAAAAAAAAAGAAAAAAGCAGCTTGCATTTCTCTTGCAGAAGACCTACATTGAGTTCTTGTAGCCTACTCTGGCAAATCACAATTTCCAGCTCCAAGACATCCAATGCCCTCTTCTGGACACTATGGGAACTGCATTCATACATGCACATACCCTCCCTGCTCCCCTAATACACCTAATTACAAATAAAACAATTCTTAAAAAAAAAAAAGTTTCCAAGTGATTCTGTATCAGCTTAGACCGACATTCATGTTTTTGGTTTTGTTTGGTTTGGTTTTCTGGGTGTTTTTGTTTTGTTTTGATTCATGGATCTACAGCTTGGATACCCTGAAGTCTACCTTCTTCATCTGGATGGATGGAGAGGCTGAAGCCAAAGATATACAGCATCCCCCTTCCACCAAGCTCTTACTGACAGCAGATTTCTGGGGCCCAGTTCCCCCGCCAAAGCAGCCCAGCTGTGAGACACCAGCCCTAATCGAGACATTTATTCCCTCTGAAGAGGCGGGGGAAGTCCAGAACTCTTAATGGGCGTGATGAGGTCACTCAGGGCTTCACTTCCCCAAGCTGACGGGAACTGTTATTTTTCTGGTTTATCTTTTCACATGACTGGATTTACTAAATATATTGAACTTAAATAACCAGATTGCAAATATGCAAAAATTAGGACTGGGTTACAGGCCCAAGAAAACTGGCACCTGTTCAGGTGTGTGCGTGTGAAGAGAGCAGAGTCAAACTGTACATACATGCAAACGACTATTTCAACAGAGGTGGAAAAGGAGGTACAGGGAGAAAAATGGACTCTTCAACAATAGCAATATTCCACATGCTGAAACAATTAACATCTAAATTCAGGGGTTGGGGCTGAACTTCAATCCATGTACATGCATTAGAAAACAGCAGGGCTGAAAGGTTTTGCCACATGGTTAGTTATATGGGCCAAATTGGAAATGGCCCTGACCTTAAGGTTCTTCTGTTTCTGAGTGCTGGGATCATAGAAAGATGGCAGCATGCCTGCTTTGGGAAAATCTTTATGAATCTTTGGCTAGGCATGATCCACTCCTCCCACCCAAGGAACGCAACTAGACTTTAATAAAATTAAAAATTTCTAGGCCAGGTATGGTGGATCAGACCGGAGGTGGAGAAAGGAAGATCAGGAGTTATGGGTCATCCATGAAAACCTATCAAAAAAAAAAAAAAATTAGGGAGGCGGTGGTGGCACATGTCGTTATTCCTAGCACTCAGGAGAAAGAGGCAAGTGGATCTGAGTTCGAGGCCAGCCTGATCTGCTGAGTAAGTTCCAGGACAACATGGACTACCCAGAGAAACCATGTCTCTTAAAACCAAGAAGGAGGAGGAGGAGGAGGAGAAGGAGGAGAAGGAGAAGGAGGAGGAGGAGGAGGAGGAGGAGGAGGAGGAGGAGGAGGAGGAGGAGGAGGAGGAGGAGGAGGAGGAGAAGAAGAAGAAGAAGAAGAAGAAGAAGAAGAAGAAGAAGAAGAAGAAGAAGAAGAAGAAGAAGAAGAAGAAGAAGAAGAAGAAAAATCATGTAAGGAAGGATACATTAACTAGTCACAACAAATGACTTAGGTCTCATTTGGGATACAATTTTTGTTTGTTTTGGGGGACAAGGTCTCACGTGGGCTGGCTTTGAACTCTGTGGCAGAGGATAACGTTGAACTCTCCATCTTCCTTCCGGTGCCCAAGCCACCTCGCCTGGCTGTGTGATAAAGGTCAGGGATACAGCCCCCACTAAAGGTTCTCATCCCAAGAACCCATCTAGAACCTCGACCCAACCCGGTTCCTCCAGGCTAATAATGCCAGGCTTCCCTCCATCTTTTCCAAATTTAGATTATATGGATTCTGAGACTACACTAATTTGAAGAAAGGTGGGTCAAGTTCAGCGAGCCCTAATTCCACATCCTCCGAGGACTCCAGAGGATCGTGTCCCTGAAAGAGACCGCCCAGAAAGTCGTAAAAGCCTGCTTTTCCATCCTCTACCTTCCGAAGTTGAGACTACGCACGCGCAGCAGGACTACATCTCCCAGGAGGCTCTTCGCTGCTTCTCTGGGGGAGGGGCTTGATAGCGGAAGACTACATTACCCAGAGATCTCTCGACGGTGACATTAGATGGTCCCTCTGACATACATCGATTGGGCCATAGGCGGCCAGAAGCTGCGCGGTGATTGGCCCAGCAGCCCATCAGTTACTGGCAAGTGCAGTTAAGTTTTGCTGTTGGGCTACACTGAGAGGAGGGAGAACTGAGCTTGTAGAGCCCTGCGGAACCTGCCGCCTCAGGTGAGTGTCCTCTGGCTTTGCTCTCCTCCTGGTACTCTGGGGAGCTGGTACCCCCGCTTCCTGAGTCGGAACACAGGGAATACGGAAGGACAGGTGTCCACGCGGGGCGGGGACGAATGCTCACGTGGTACACCTGACCCCAGGAGCATCTTCAGGGACATGGAAGGCGAATTTCCCCTCTCCGCTACACACACACACACACCACCACCACCACCACCACCACCTCAGGCAACATGGGGTTGTCCACTGCTCAGGACTCACGGAGAAGCCCTCCCCGCGGTACGCCTGGACAGTGTACCGACACGGGGCCATCTGCAGAGCTCCTCACCTGAACACGTGGGCTCTTGGTTACTCACCGAAGGATACCTGTCCACCCGACAGTGGAGTCTGACACAGTAAAGGTGCAGGGTGAAGAAATTCGCCTGCACTCCATGCACTGCCACTCAGGTCAGCAGCCGACCTGTCTCAGTCCTGGATTATTTATATTACACAATCGTTTTTTAAAATCTGTTGAGATATCACGGTTATTGGTGCTATAAGAAGGTTTTGAATAGGCAGGAGATTAATCTTTCCCTTTGTTTATTTTTGTTGTTGGTTTGGGACAGGGTAACCCAGGCTAAGCTTGAACTTGCTATGTTCTCAAGGATGACCTTGAACTCTTGCGTCTCCTGCCTCCAATTCCCAAGTGTTACAGGCTCCACCATGCTGGTTTGTGCTTCCTGTGGGGACTTTACCAACTGTAATACTTTTCAGTCCTGATTCTTGACATGTTTGCATCTTTGTGGTTTTCTTTTCTAGAAAACAAACATTTCAAAAGCTTTTCAGGTGTGTATGACTTACTTGTTTTCAAAATCTGTCACTTAATCTGATCAGCAATCTGGGCCAGGCAGGTCAAACATTATCTCCCACTTTCCACAGGTGAAAACAGTTGGTATTTTATTTAATTTCATTTTTGTGTGGATGAGCATTTGCTGCCTGTATTTCACTGCATGCATGCCTGGTGCAGGAGGAGGCCAGAAGAGTGTTTCAGATCCTCAGAGCCTGGAATTACAGACAGCTATGAGCCTTCATGTGGATACTGGGAATCAAACCTAAGTCCTCAGTAAGAGCAACAGTCAGTGCTCTTAACCACTGAGCCATGACTTCAGTTGGAATTTGAAAAGCTGCCACTGGTCTATGGGAGAGACAGAACTTGAACACAGGTTTTCTTTTATTTATATTTATTTATTTATTGTGTGTGTGTGTGTGTGTGTGTGTGTGTGTGTGTGTGTGTGTACACTCACACACATACCACAAAGAGCGTGTGGAGGTCAGAGACAATTTTCTGGGGTCGGTTCTCTCCTTCCATCATGTGGGTCCCAGGGATGGAGCTCAGGGCTTCAGGCTGGGCAACAGGTGCCCTCACCCACGAAGCCATCTCTATGGCTCCAGGCTTTTGTTTTTGGTGGTCATGAGATTTTCAACTCAGGGCTTTGTGCATACAAGGCAGGCACTCTCCCCCTGAGCCATAGAGCAAACACACCCCCTCACCCTCGTAGTGCTGGGGAATGAAGCCCAGGGTCTTGCACATGCTCAGCTAGCACTTTGTTCTTTGTCTGGGTTTCTTGGGCTGAGATCTTATGTAGCCCAGGCTGGCTCCTAATCCTCTTGCCTTTGCCTCCCACATGCTGGGATTGTAAGTGTGAACCCCAACTTTCCTTTTTTTTTTTTTTTTTTTTTTTTTGAGACAGGGTTTCTCTGTGTAGCCCTAGCTGTCCTGGAGCTAGTACTGTACTGTAGACCAGGCTGGCCTCAAACTCAGAGATCAGCCTGCCTCTGCCTCCAGAGTGCTGGGATTAAAGGTGTATGTCACCTGGCTTCCTTTTACTTTTTATGTTAAGACAGGGTCACATTATGCAGTCCAGGCAGGGCCTCACACTGTGGTCCTTCTGTGTCAGTCTCTCTAGTAGCTAGAACCCAGGTTTCTGGAGTTGTATCTAGCAATGTAGAACTGCTTATTTTTTGAAATCCAGACACAATAGCCTCTCCCACCTTCTGCTTGGTTTGAATCGTGCAGTTACAGACTGGGCTTCCAGATAGACTGGCTGTCTCCTCAGCTTCTGTGGACACCGAGCCAGGACACCTGCCACTTGGCTTTCTCCTCTTTCCCTCCTAGACTGCAAGAAACTTGAAACTGTTGAGGACTGAGAAGGCCCCATCATCCCTGACAGGGTCAGTGGCTTCGTCCTCTGCCCTTGTTTAACCCGATTCTCCCAGCCTGCTGGGAGAGGTGCCAGGGTGGAGTAGAGAGGGAAAATATTGTCAGAATGGAGGAGTGGAAGTTGTCATTGGGTGGCCAGTGGCCTCCTAGTTACTCTGCATGTTCAAGCTGTGGGGTAATTCCAGTGGCCTTTCTGAAATCATTTTATATTTAGGTGTTTTGTTTGTTTTAGGGATGTCTTAGTTAAAGTTCTTTTGCTGTGAAGAAACATCATGACCATAGCAACTCTTTGTTGTTGTTGTTTTTCAAGACAAGGTTTCTCTGTGTGGCCCTGGCTGTTCTGGAACTCACTGTGTAGACCAGGCTGGTCTTGTACTCAGAGATCCACCTACCTCTGCCTCCTGAGTGCTGGCATTAAAGGCTTGTGCCACCATCCGGCCTCACAACTGTTTTTTTGTTTGTTTGTTTGTTTGTTTGTTTGTTTGTTTTTTTTGAGACAGGTCTCTGTGTAATTTTGGTACCTCTCCTGGATCTCGCTCTGTAGACCAGGCTGGCCTCGAACTCACAGAGATCTGTATAGCTCTGCCTCCCAAGTGCTGTGCCCAGCCACAGCAATTCTTATAAAGGAAAACATTTAATTGGGGCTGGCGTATAGGTTCAGAGATGTCATCCATGGCAGCACGCAGGCAGACATGGTGCTGGAGAAGGAGCCAAGAATTCTCTATCTTTTTTTTTTCTGGTTTTTCGAGACAGGGTTTCTCTCTGTAGTTTTGGTGCCTTTCCTGGCTCTCTGTAGACCAGGATGGCCTTGAACTCACAGAGATCCGACTGGCTCTGCCTCCCGAGTGCTGGGATTAAAGGTGTGCACCACAGCTGCCTGGCAAGAATTCTGTATCTTGATTGGCAGGCAGCAGTAAGAGAGACTGACACTGGGCCTGGCTTGTGGTTCTGAAACCTCAAAGCCCAACCCCAGTGACACACTTTTTCCAAGAGACCTCACTTACTCCAACAAGGCCACACCTCCCAATAATGCCGCTCCCTAGGGACCTATAGGGGCCATTTTCATTCAGACCACCACAGGAAGGTTTGGTTTTGTGGTTTTGCTGGCCTGGAATTTGCTCTGTAGACCTGGCTGGCCTTGAATTTGCAGTGATCCTCCTGCCTCTGTCTCTGAAGTGGAAGAAAAGGCAAAGAGGGCACTGGGTAGGAATTTTGGACAGTGGTAGCTTGTTGGAGACTAGTAATATGTTTATAATTTAATTAAAATTTTTAGATGTACTTATCTCATGTGTTTAAATGTTTTGCTCACATGCATGTTTATATGCATCACCAGCATGCCTGGTGCCTATGGAGGTACAGAAGGTGTAGGATGACCCAGAATTGGAGTTACAGATAGTTGTGAGCTGCAGTGTTGGTGCTGGGAATTGAACCCAGGTCCTCTGCAAGAGTAACAAGTGTTCTTAATCTCTAGGCCATCTCTCCAGCCCTAATTTTATTTTTAATTATGAGGTTTTTTTAAATTATGAGTGTGTGTGTGTGTGTGTGTGTGTGTGTGTGTGTGTGTGTGCGCGCGCGCGCGGGGGGGGGGGGGTGTAGATGTGTGTACATGAGTGCAGGAACCCTCAGAGGACCAAAGAGGGCATTAGATCTCTTGGAACTGGAATTACAGGTATTTATGAACCATCTAATGTGTGCACTGAGATCTGGATTCCAGTGTCCATGATTAAGCAGAAAGTGCTTTTAACTCCTGAGCCATCGTCCTTGGTTTAAATTGATCTTTTTCTGTCACTGGATGTGGAAGGTATAAAGTTGAGACCAAGGCTATGTTTCCACTGGCTTGCATTCTTTTTGTTTGTTTGTTTGTTTTGTTTTTGTTTTCGAGACAGGGTTTCTGTGTGTAGTCCTGGCTGTCCTGGAACTTGATTTATAGACCAGGCTAGCCTGGAACTGAGAGATCCACCTGCCTCTGCCTCCCAAATGCTGGGACTAAAGCACCACCACGCCCGGCTCTGTGAGCCTACATTCTAATCAGCAGGACAAGAAACCATATCCTGTAGTAATAAGGCTACAAAGGCCAGTGCCTTATGCGGGCAGAGAGGGCTGCTGCAAGAAGGTGGTGTCTGAGCAGAACCCGAAGGAACTTGTCTTTACCCTGTGACTATTACACTCAGCTCGATACTCATGGACGTTGGATGGACTAGCAGCAGGGATGGTCGGCTATGATGCCAAAGCAGATGGCAGGAATAACTCCAAGTTGGAGGTGGCGGTGGCAGGATCGGTGTCTGGATTTGTCACTCGTGCCCTGATCAGCCCTTTGGACGTCATCAAGATCCGTTTCCAGGTACCTTTCCCCTCTTCTCCATGTAACGGGCCAGGGAACAAGCAGGCTTAGTCCTTGCAAAGGCGGGTCCTAAAACTTGGAATTTTGTCGAGGTGAAGGGTTCCTTTCCTTCAGTTTCCCTTTGCCACTCCCCCTCCCCCACCGTCCTGACCTTTTACACTTTAATCCCCAGCTTCAGATTGAACGCCTGTGTCCAAGTGACCCCAACGCCAAATACCACGGAATCTTCCAGGCGATCAAGCAGATTCTGCAGGAGGAGGGCCCAACGGCGTTCTGGAAAGGACACGTTCCAGCCCAGATTCTGTCCATAGGCTATGGAGCAGTCCAAGTAGGTAGCAGGGAACCCAGTCAGGTCCCTGTGGTCACACTGCTCCATGGAGCAGAGAAAGGGTGACAAGTAAGGACGTTGCCCTTGGTGGCAGTCCCCACCCTGCCCCGTTGCCTTCACGGGGAAACCTGATCTGACTGCATGAAGACATCATCAGTTAGCCACACCTCAGGCCTTCCCTCCCCACATCCTGTTCTCCTCCCCCTCTCCTGACCCCATCCCAGCTAATACTGAGGAATACCTCCATTTTTCTGTTTTAAATTTCAAATTACGTTTTGTTTATTTCTTCAGAAATAAACAAAGGGGAGATGTGCTTGCTACACAATTTCTGCCAAGGTGTCCAGGTCAGAGGTCAATTGGCAGGAGTCAGTTCTCTCCTCTGCCATGTGGGTCCTGGGGTTCACTGGGGTTTGTTTGTTTGTTTGTTTGTTTGTTTTGTTTGGAGGCAGATTCTCTCTGTGTGGCCCTGTCTGTTCTGAAACTCTCAATGTAGAACAGGTTCACCTAGAACTCACAGAGATCCACTGCTTCTGCCTCCCAAGTTCTGAGATTAAAGGCATGCGCCACTATGCTTGATTAGGGCCCAGGGATTCAAACTAGGGTCCTGAGGCTTGGCTGCAGGCACCTTTACCCACTGGCTCACCCGTTTTTGGAAACAGCACCTTCACCACAGTGCTCAGTTGGGTCTCACTGGTGCACAAGAGGAATGAGAGCAGGTGCCACCAGCGTTACAGGACAGCTGCCAGGACCTCGGGGCTGTCCACGATGGGGTGCAGACGGACACACAGGCTTCTCCCTTCTCAGCACTTCCTGCTTTAGCCCAGCACCAGTGTTTTCATGGTGTACTTGGTAAGGTTTGGCCGGAGTGACAATGTCTCAAACTGTGGGCCCGGCCCCCCACAGTCGTCCTGTGAGGTAGATCCTGTTGTCTTTCTGACTCTACAGAAGAGAAAGCTATGGCTGAGAACGCTTATGTGGTTAGTCAGCTAAGGTCATTCGTGGGAAAGTGGCAGAGGGGCAGCCAGTGTGGTGGCAGAGCGCTGGCAGAGGGGTGGCCAGTGTGGTGGCAGAGCGCTGGCAGAGGGGTGGCCAGTGTGGTGGCAGAGCGCTGGCAGAGGGGCGGCCAGTGTGCTGGCAGAGCGCTGGTAGAGGGGCGGCCAGTGTGCTGGCAGAGCGCTGGTAGAGGGGCGGCCAGTGTGCTGGCAGAGCACGGAGCACCACCTTAGCAAGCTTGTGCACGCGAAGTTCTGGCTTTGGTCCTTGTAGAGCACAAATGAGTAAATGCAAGAGAGAGCGGCAGAGCAGGATCCTCCTCATGTAGCCAGTGTCAGAGTGGTCCCTGCCTGCTCTTCCAACCCTCTCACACTCTGTGCAAGTCCAGCCCTACCAGCTTGGCATGTCTGTGTTGACCCGTGTCCTTCTCTGATACACCACTAGACATTGCACCATGTGGAGGAAATGCAGCAACGTGGGAGTCTCAGGAAATCTCAGGTAGTCTCAGGCTGGCTGGAGGTGATGAGGGAGGCTATGGGTATGAGGGAATGTGCTGTCAACAGACGTGAGTGATTCAACTGTGGTGTGGGGTCCCCTGCCACAAGTCAGATAATGGCTAGCTTTTCTTAGGTTGCAGAAAAGTAGTTAAATGAAGGGAGTTTCTGCATCTTTCAAGCCTGGCATGACACATACCTGTTTTTGTTTGTTTGTTTTTCGAGACAGGGTTTCTCTGTAGCTTTGCGCCTTTCCTGGATCTCGCTCTGTAGACCAGTCTGGCCTCGAACTCACAAAGATCTACCTGCCTTTGCCTCCCAAGTGCTGGGATTAAAGGCGTGTGCCACCACCGCCCAGCTATGACACATACCTAGCATTCAGGGACTGAAGCAGAAGGAGCATCATAAATTCAAGGCCGTCGTAGTCTATATAGCAAGTTCCAGGCTAGCCAGGCCTTCATAGTGAGGCACCAACTCAGAAAGTAATAATAAAACAAAACAGATCTCTCTGTATATGTTTATCTATCTATCTATCTATCTATCTATCTATCTATCTATCTATCTCTGTGTTTGTATGTGCATGTGTCCATCTGTGTTCATGTCTGTATGCATGTGTATATATGTAGGCCAGAGATGTGTCTTCCTTAGTCACTCCGCTGTTTTTTTTTTGAGACAGTCTCTCCCTAAACCTGGAGCTCACTAACTTGGTTAGACTGGCAGATCAGCAAGCCGTCCTTGCAAACCCCTAGCTTGGGGATTACAGGCATGCACTGTTGCACCCTGGTTTTTATGTGGGTGCTGGAGCTCAAACTCAGGTCCTGTGCTTGCACAGAAACACTTTACCAGCTAAGGTATTTCCTAGCACCTTTCTTTTTTTTCTTTTCTTAGATGATGTAGGAGATGGAACCCAGGGCCTTGTGCTAGGCTAGTGATCTCCGACTGGATCAACATCTCCAAGCCTGCTCCATATCTTTCTTTTTTTTAAAGATTTTTTTTTTTTAAAGATATTATGTATACAGTGTTCTGTCTGCATGTATGCCTGCAGGCCAGAAGAGGGCACCAGATCTCATTACAGATAGTTGTGAACCACCATGTGGTTGCTGGGATTTGAACTCAGGACCTCTGGAAGAGCAGCCAATGCTCTTAACCTCTGAGCCATCTCTCCAGCCCCCTTTTTAAAAGATTTTTAAGTTATGTGTATTTGCACATGAGTGCTGGTGCCTACAGAGGCATCAGATCCCCTGGAGCTGGAGGTACAGGCAGTGTTGAGGAGCTGCCAAATGTAGCAACTTTGAATTGAATTCTGCAAGAGCAGTTCACGCCTTCTCTTAATTACTGAGCCATCTTTCCAGCCCCTTTCTTAACTCTTTGGATACTTGGCTTGACTCAAGTGGATAGGAAATGGCATCTGGGTTATTCTTTCTTTCTACTCTGTCGGTTCCGGTAAGGCAACTGCGTACACAGAGTGACATGCTTCTTCTTCTAGGGGACCATTTCTGCAGCTTGTCCTCAGTGTCTTTCCACTTGCTTTTGCAGTTTTTGTCATTTGAAGAGCTGACTGAACTGCTCCACAGAGCCAATTTGTATGAAACTCACCAATTCTCGGCATACTTTATATGTGGTGGCCTGTCTGCTGGCACAGCTACCCTTGCTGTGCATCCTGTGGATGTCCTGCGCACTCGCCTCGCAGCTCAGGGGGAGCCCAAGGTGAGCAATCAGGGCCAGATGGGGAGCCTGGAGGAGGTGGGAGCACAGGAGTTGGGGCTCTTGTCCTGTCAGGACGCAAAGCTGGGGCGCCTTTCATTATCAGCACAATAGCCAGTTTGTAAGGCTTGGTCAGTAACCTGCACTCCTTCTGCAGTTTGGTGGTTTGTGTCCATTTCTCCCGGAGCTCGTAGACTTCCTGGGGAGACTGAGCCCAGGGGGCAAAACAGAACAAATAAGTATCCGGCAGCGGGCTGAATGAGGCAGGCATCTGGGGGAATTGGGACACAGGAACTTTTGGCCATCATATCCTGAGGGTTTCCTCCAGGAATGTGTTGAAGGAGATGGCATAGGTGAATCAGTCTCAGGAAGGACTTACAGTGGACCAAGCCTTATGGCTGAGTGACTTTTCTCCTTGCAGTGATGGGACACTTTGACAAAAGCAACTTAAGGGAGAAAGGGCCTATTTTGGCTCACAGTTGCAGCTGTAGTCAGGAAGCAGAGTGATTGCTTGTGCTCAGCTGGCTTCCTCCTTTTTGTCCAGTCCAGACACAAGCCCATGGATGGTGCCGGCTGCTTAACTAACCTGGTGATCGTGCCTCGAGGGCACACCCAGGCATGTGTCTAGGTGATTCTAGATCCATCAGATTGGTGACAAGTTTGACCTCCTGGTCCAGTCTGCTTCCTGGATGCATTTAAGGGTAGCATCATTAGAGGCTGGAGAGACGACTCAGGGGTTAAGAGCTCTTGCAGAGGACCCAGGTTTGGTTCCCAGCACCCACATCTTTATCTCTACCACTAGCTTTAACTCCAGTTCTAGAGAATCTGACACCCTCTTCTGGCCTCTGTAGGCACCAGGCAGGCATGCAGTCCACATACATACATGCAGAACAGACCCTCATACACACATAAAATAAAACTTTTTTTTAAAGCAAGAGAAAAAATATCCTGCTTTAAAAAAAAAAAAAAAACAGGCAGGCTCGAGGCCCAAGTCTATAGTCTTGGTTTCGGGGAGGTGGAGACAGGAGGATCCATGGGAGTTCAAGGCCAGCCTGGACTACAGAGTGAGATCCTGTCTCAAAAAACAAAAACCACATACCCCCAAACACATACACACTAGCAAACCCAAAACACGGCCACAAAAGGAAAAAGACAGCGGCAGCCACACACGTTGCTACAGTCCTAGTAAATGGAGGCTAAAATGGGAAGGTTGACTGAGGTCAGGGGTTCGAGGCCACCTCAGCAATGTCGTGAGAGTCTCAAAAATAAACAGAGCTGACAGGATGGCTTGGTGGGTAAAGACACTTGATGCCACCCTAATGGCCTGAGTTTCATCTCTGGAACCCACTTTTTTTTTTTTTTTTTTTTTTTTTGGTTTTTCGAGACAGAGTTTCTCTGTGTAGCTTTGCGCCTGTCCTGGAACTCACTCTGTAGCCCAGGCTGGCCTCGAACTCACAGAGATCCACCTGGCTCTGCCTCCCGAGTGCTGGATTAAAGGCGTGTGCCACCACCACCCGGCTGGAACCCACATATTAAGAGAGAACCAACTCCGGAATTTTGTCCTCTACCACATGTGCACAAAGCATGCACAGGCCCCCACACAAGAAATAAACATAAGTGATTGGAGAGATGGCTCAATGGTTAAGAGCACGGGCTGCTTTTCCAGCTGGCCTAGGTTCAATTCCCAGCACCCTCAAGGGATCTCACAACCATCTGTAACTCTAGTCTCTGGGGTTTCTGTCCTCTGCTGGTACTACATGTGAGACGTGTAAACATGCCTACAGGCAAAACACTTGTCTTCGTCAGGGGTGATGTTGCTCTGATGAAACACCGTGACCAAAAAGCAAGTTGGGGAGGAAAGGGTTCACTTGACTTACTGTTCATCATCGAAGGAAGTCAGGACAGAAACTCAAGCAGGGCAGGAGCTGATGCAGAAGCCATGGATGGGTTCTCCTTACTGGTTTGCTTCCCCTGACCTGCTCACCAGAACTCACTTGGTAGCCCAGGCTGGCCTCGAACTCACAGAGATCCTCTTGGCTCTGCCTCCCGAGTGCTGGGACTAAAGGCATGCGCCACCACCGCCCGGCTCGCCAACTTTCTTATAGAACCCAGGACCACCAGCCCAGGCATGGCACCACCCACAATGGGCTGGGCTCTCCATCAATCACTAATTAAGAAAATGCCTAACAGCTGGATCTCATGGCAGCATTTTCTCAATTGAGTTTCCCTCCTTTCAGATCTAGTTTGTGTGTCGAATAGACATAAGACTAGTCAGCACAGTATCCATACACATAAAATTAAAGATGTGAAAATTCAGCTGGGCGGTGGTGGCACATGCCTTTATCCCAGCATTTGGGAGGCAGAGCCAGGCAGATCTCTGTGAGTTCGATGCCAGCCTGGTCTACAGAACAAGTTCCAGGAAAGGCTCCAAAGCTACACAGAGAAACCCTGTCTCGAAAAAACTAAAAAAAAAAAAGTAAAAATTCTTTTAGAAACACCAGTCAGTATGTGTGTGTCTCTATCCATCCTTATGGACACATTGGTTGGGACTGGACATTTTGTTTAGGTTTTGGTTTTGCCTGGCCTTTGTGTTCCTCAGGGTGGGGAACCTGGTTGGAAAACATTCTGATGCTATTTTGGTTGCAAAGAGCAAAGTCCCGTAGGAATAGTCTGGAAGAGAAGAATGGGGCAGAAGGGTCCAGTGTGTGTGATAATTCACTGGAGAATCGGAGGCTGGGGCGACCGGCCTGGTGGAGAAGTGGGGGGTGAGGTCTCAGCAGTGTGGTGGCTCCTGGGCTAGAGGGAAGGTGGCTGGTGACAGCCCAACTTTGCCCCTGCCCTTCTGTTACCTGCCAGCCTCTGGTGAGAGAAGGAAGAAGTGGCAGCGGTGTTAAGGAAGGAGATGAGCTTTACCTCTGCCGACTGGTGCAGGAGGGCATTGTTCTGGGCTAACCTGCTCTGGCCCCGCAGAACTGAGAAACAGAGTCACTCACACAGAAGGCCCCACCTCCCAAAAGAGCGGGGACTGCAGAATTCTCCATCAGGCCTTTTTCCTTGCCCTACAGTGGACCCGCTCACAGACCTGCTGCTAGCCTCTGGGGCATTTTCTGCTCTTCACCCTCTCCCCGACTTCCTGGGAAGGAACTTTGAAATGAACCATCTACTCTGTGTTGTTGTGATTTCCTTGGGAGACCTGGGCAGAGTCTTTGTTGTTGCAAGTGGCTTTCTCTTGAGGGGGGTCCAGTGGCCTCCCAAGTAAGTTCAGGTGGCTCTTTTGCAGTCCACAGGATGTTCAGGATGTTGCTGGGAATCTTTTGGACATTTACTTTTTTTTTTTTTTTTTTGGTTTTTCGAGACAGGGTTTCTCTGTGTAGTTTTGGTGCCTGTCCTGGATCTCGCTCTGTAGGCCAGGCTGGCCTAGAACTCACAGAGATCCACCTGGCTCTGCCTCTCCCAGGTGCTGGGATTAAAGGCGTGAGCCACCACCACCCGGCCTGGACATTTACTTTAAAGATTTATTTTATGTGTATGGGTGTCTTGCCTGCATGTATATGTAAGATGAATTGCTAAACGGTCTTATTAATATAAAACCCTGTGCCAGATATTGGGGTGAATTCTGAGAGATCAGAGAGACAGAACCAGCCAACCTCACCTCGACAACTCCTTATCCAGTCGTGTTTCCACGAATTCTCAGACTGAAAGCTTCAGAGTCCTTACCTGAATGGATCTCAGCAGAACTGCTGTTAAAAGCTGAAAGTTTAAAAGCCTAAAAGCCTCTAGTTCCTGGTCCTCACGCCTTATATACCTTTCTGCTTCCTGCCATCACTTCCTGGGATTAAAGGCATGTGTCTTTCCCAAGCAAGACATATGAGGTCTCAAATTCTGGGATTAAAGAAACTGGCTCTGTTTCCAGTGTGTCTGAATTCACAGAGAACCAGAATGCTAGGATTAAGGGTGTGTGCCACCACTGTCTGGCCTCTATGTCTAATCTAGTGGGGGACACAATACATCACCACATGTATGTCTGTGTACTGTATGTATGCAGTGCCCACATACCCGGAAGAGGGCATGGGATCCTCTGGAACTGCCACTATATGGGTGCTGGGAACTGAATCTGGGTCCTTTGCAAGAACAGAACATACTCCTATTTGCTGACACAGGTCTCTAGTCCTGGGGCACAACTGTTTATATACTCAAGGAGAAATAACAATCATGGAAATTTCTAGGAAGTAAGTTGTCACAAACCACACCCTTTTGTTTGTTTTGGAGACAGGGTCTCCCTATGTTGCTCAAGCTGACCTCAAGGTTTTTTTTTTTGGAGACAAGGTCTTGTTATGTAGCTCTGGCTGTCCTGGAACTTGATATGTAGCCCAGGCTGGCCTTGAACTTGGAGAGATCTGCCTGCCTCTGTCCAGCTATGCCCAACTGGCCTCAAACTTTTTTTAAGATTTATTTGTTTTTATGTGTACAGGTGTTTTGCCTACATTTATGCCCATGCACTGTGTACATGCAGTGTTCTCGGGGGCCAGAAGAGGGTGTTGGATACCCTGGAACTGGAGTTACAGACAGTTGTTAGCTACTATGGGGATGCTGGGAACCAAACCTGGATCCTCTGGCAGAGCATTCAGTGTCTTAACCTCTGAGCCATCTCTCCAGTCCGTCCTTAAATCTTGATCCTCCTGCTAAGTGCTTGGACGATGGTGTGTGCCACCGCACCCCACTGCCCTGTTGAATTTTTATTTTGTTTAGAGATAGGGTCTCATTCACCCCAGGCTGGCCTTGAAAAGGATATGTAGTCCAGGCTGACTTTGAACTCCTGATCTTCCTGCCTCCACCTATCAAGTGCTAGGATTACATGTGTGCTACCACACCCAGCCCCCACTTACCTTTATCCTTAGTTTTCCTAGACTGAAGTGGAAAAGTTACACTCCTGGCAGCTGGGTTTTAGATGAGAAGAAAAGGATGTGTTTGGGCTGAAACCCCTCACGCAGCTCACTGATACTGTGCATGTACGTGTGCAGATCTATAACAACCTGAGAGAGGCTGTGTCAACCATGTACAGGACCGAGGGCCCCTTGGTCTTCTACAAAGGCTTGCTTCCCACCGTGATCGCCATCTTCCCCTACGCGGGCCTGCAGTTCTCTTGCTACCGGTCCTTGAAGCGTGCCTACGACTGGGTCCTCCCGCCAGATAGAAAGCAAACAGGTGAGATGCCCCCAGCCTAGCCTGGGCCACGGCTTCTGTGAGCCTTGAAGGCACTGGTTTTCCTGTCCGGAGCATCTGGCTCTGTGGTCTAGCTAGCAGAACATTCGAGTCTTGTACTTTAGAGGACACTTCCTTCGGGCTCTTACACACTCAGCCCTACACTTCTGGAAGCAAGCGTCTTTCCAGGGAATACTTCTTCCTGGTTTTCATTTTTTTGTCAGAAGCCCAACTTACAAATTGTATTTATTCATCTATCTATCTATCTATCTATCTATCTATCTATCTATCTATCTATCTATCTATCTGTTGCTTTTGTGGTTCCATTGTTTGGTGGGGAGGGGGATGCACTGTTTCCATCTAGGGACTCACAGGCTCTGTGTCTCCAGGTGAGACCAGCTGGCTAATGTGTCTGTTGTCACTCTTGCTTCAGTGGCTGTGTCTGCCTCTGGCAGTGGTCATGTTCCCTTTTGAGAAGCAAGAATTGCTCGTGGGGTTCAGGTTTGTGGTGGAGTATCGAGTCTGATGACCTTTTTTTTTTTTGGTTTTGAGACAGGTTTTCTCTGTGTAACAAACAGCCCTGGCCATCCTAGAACTTGCTCTATAGACCAGGCTGGCCTTGAACTCCCAGAGATCCACCTGCTTCTGCCTCTCGAGTGCTGGGATTAAAGGCGTGCCCAATTCTGATATTTTTATTTCATATTTTTTTAAGATTTATTTTTAAATTCTTAATTATTTTATGTATGTCTGTGTACCATGTGTATGCCTGACACCCTTGGAGATAAGAGGAGCTCATTGGATCCCCTGGAACTGGAGTTACCGGCAGTTGTGAGCCTCCATGAGGTGCTGGGAATGAAATCCAGGTCCTCTGGAAAAGCAGCGAGTACTCTTAACTGCTGAGCCATCTCTCCAGCTCTGGTTTATTATTTATGTGTCTGCATGTGTGTATGCCATGCATGTGTGTGTGTGTGTGTGTGTATGCTGTGCATGTGTGTGTGTGTGTATTTAGGGTTCTCAAGGCAGCCGAACTATTCCCTGGAGTTGTAGATCCAAGTAGTTGTGAGTGGCCTGATGTGGGTGCTGGGAACAGAACTTGGTTTTTCTGGAAGAGCAGCCAGTGCTTTAAGACACCGAACAGAACACTCTCCTGTCCTTGTCATGCCATGGACCTTCAGCTGCATTTCTCTTTCTGTGGCTCAGGGAACCTGAAAAACCTGCTTTGTGGCTGTGGGTCTGGAGTCATTAGCAAGACCCTCACATATCCGCTGGACCTCTTCAAGAAGCGCCTGCAGGTGGGAGGGTTCGAGCATGCCCGGTCTGCCTTTGGTCAGGTAAGCCATCCTGTGCAGAGCGCTCCGATCAGTGCTGTCATTGGATGTGAGCAGCCAGCAGCGGTGACCCTCCCCCTTTGTCTTCTGTAGTTTTCTTGTTTTGTTTTGTTTTGTTTGGGTTTTTTTGTTTTGTTTTTGGAGACAGGGTTTCTGTGTGGCTCTAGATATCCTGGAACTAGCTCTGTAGACCAGGCTGGCCTCGAACTCACAAAGATCCACAGAGTGCTGGGATTAAAGGCTGTGCCACCACTGTCTGCCTTCCCCCCCTCCTTTTTTTTTTTTTTTTTTTTTTTTCTCGAGACAGGGTTTCTCTGTGTAGCTTTGCGCCTCTCCTGGAACTCACTTGGTAGCCCAGGCTGGCCTCGAACTCACAGAGATCCGCCTGGCTCTGCCTCCCGAGTGCTGGGATTAAAGGCGTGCGCCACCACCGCCCGGCTCCCCCCCCTTTTTTTTTTTAAATCAGAATTAATTCACTTTTATTTTCTTGTATAAAAACCTTATGTAGGGCTGGAGAGATAGCTCAGTGGTTAAGAGCACTGGCTGTTCTTCCAGAGGTTCTGAGTTCAATTCCCAGCAACCACATGGTGGCTCACAACCACCTATAATGGGATCTGATGCCCTCTTCTGGCCTGCAGGCATACACGTGGGCAGGATACTGTATGCATAATAAATAAATAAATCTTAAAAAAAAAAAAGAAAAACACCTTATGTGGTGGCCACAGCTTAAGCCTGGGTCCCGTGAACAGAGGCTCTGCTGTGGGTTTTCACAAGATGGTCAGTGAATTCCTGATAAGGAGAGTTGGTGAACACAGTCTCTTTCCAGAGGTTGGCGGTTAGGTAGCTGTAGGTCTTGGAGATGGCATCAAAGGTGGCCTTGGCAAAGTTGCCCCGGGTGGCAGTGCAGCCCCTGGCTGATGTGTAGCAAGCAACAGTACTGGCCATTCACAGCAGCTTCCTGGGCACAGGAGCAAAGTCAGTGCCAGTGCCTCTGGGGGCAGGGATGAGACTTACCAACACAGAGCCACAGCGGCCTGTCACCCTGCACAGAACAGTATGGGGCTTGCCAGTCCTCTCCCCCAGTAGCCTCTACACAGGGACAGTGGAAAGCTTGGCCACCTCCGTGGAGCACTTAACACCAAGACCATCATGATCATGGTAATTCCCAATAGCGACAAAGCTTTGAACCTGGTCTGCTGGCCAGCCGGAGTCTGCTTCTGCACTGATCTTTAGAATCTCATCCCTTAGGGATGTGCCCAGGAAAAAAAATGAATAATCTGATTCCTTAATGGGAAGGGAGAACAGGTAGGTCTCCTCAGGGGCTTGATCTTCCTGTCTGTGACTAGGCAGTCCAGCTTGGTGACGGGTTTCAGCTCCTTGTCTTCAGCTTTGCCCCTGACAGCCCCGTGGCCTTGACCACAGCCACAGCCTCGACCCCCAGGACCACTGCGGAATCCTCCACAGAAGCAGCCCTGGCCTCCTAATCCTGGGCCCCCAGGTCCTCCAGGCCCTCCTGCCACAACAGCGTTACCCGCCATTTGGTTTTTCCCAAAGAAGAAGTGGTTTTATTTCTTTGCATTAACACAGGTGCATGTTTTAACAAAAATAAGGTTACCCAATTGTAACTGGAGTTTTCCTGCCTGGCCCACAGTCAGGGCAAATCTCTCTCACCCGCCAGTCCCAAGCCGCTCAAACCCGATCAAGTAAACACAGAGACTTATTTTGGTTACAAACTGTATGGCCGTGGCAGGCTTCTTGCTAACTGTTCTTACAGCTTAAATTAATCCATTTCTATTAATCTATACCTTGCCACGTGGCTTGTGGCTTACGGGTACTTTACATCTTCCTTGTCCTGATGGCGGCTGGCAGTGTCTCCTCTGACTCAGCCTTCCACTTCCCAGCTCTATTCTCCTCCTTGTCCTGCCTATACTTCCTGCCCGGCCACGGACCAATCAGTGATTTATTTACTGACCAATCAACAACACATTTGACATACAGACCATCCCACAGCACCCAATGCAAGGTTTTGTAACCTTTTTCCATTTGCCAACCTGTCCTGAAGAGAATGTTTGAATTTAGATGGGAGGGATGGCAAGGGCCCAGGACAGAGGCTCTCTTCCTCATGGAAACTAGTGTGCTTCTGGCTGGCTGAGGAAGGAGCTTTTGCAGAGGACCAGTTGAGCCAGATGCTGGAATCCTTGACTCCCAGACCTGGGACTTGGATAGATGCTGTCCCGTGTTGTTCTCGTCATCAGATGTTCTCGGCGCTTTGGCAGGGGAGCAGAGCAGTCAGGGCTGTGTCTTGGGAACATAGGACAAACTGACAGCGGTTTGTGGTGTCACCTGAAGGCAGGGAGGCCAGGCTGGAGGCGGACACTGGTTGGGGAGCACCAGGTGATGGCCAGATTCAGACCTGCTGCCCAAGGGGAACCCGGTGTAATGAGGTGAAGACCCCGAGATGGCCGAGGGCTGTCACTGTATCCACCAGAACCACAGGCAGGTCCCCCTCTCCAGCTCAGTTAAGCCCGACCTGTCCCATGTGCCCAAGGATGAAGAATTTCACCCCCTCGTTCATCCAGGGAGCAGTTACTGGAAGCTATGTTGAGCCAGGTGAGTCCGTTTTAATGACCATTTCCCTCAACCTACACCTTCCTCTTCCCAGGTGCGGAGCTACAGGGGCCTCGTGGACCTCGCCAAGCAGGTGCTCCACGATGAAGGCACCAAGGGCTTCTTCAAGGGCCTGTCCCCCAGCCTGCTGAAGGCTGCCCTCTCCACGGGCTTCATGTTCTTCTGGTACGAGCTCTTCTGTAACCTATTCCACTGTATGAGGATCGAAGACAGATAGCTGTGAGGTCAGGAGGGGCCTAAGGTCTGTACCGGAGGCGCCTCTCCCAACAAGACTTGTTCTGAGCTCATACTGAACAATGGCTGCTGCCTGGCTGGCCTTCTAGGCCAGCTGTCCTGAGCATGAAGGGTCATCCACAGCCGATGGCAGAAGGGCCAGGGCCTTTTCTGAAAAGAACACGGAGAAGGGAGTGCTTGGGCTACAGAGACAAGGCCACCGAGAAGGAGTCTGGCGTTGTTTCTCCTCTGTCCAGCCAGCCTCTGCTTTGTAGTCCTGTTTCTGGGGAGAACCCCCCAGTCCTAGTAAGAGCATGGCTTGAGCACAGAGGAGTAGGACTGGGCTCTTTGCAGATTTCTGACCCCCACAACTTGGTTTTGCTTCTCCTGCCAACTTATTTAATAGACATTAAAGCGGAAGGCACATTCCTCATCTCACTCTCGCAGCTCGTCTCATGAACCACGCCTAGTTGAGGGAGGGTGATGGGGGGGGCCCTTTCTGGTGTCCCTGCAGTTGCAGCCCAGGCAGCCATGCTCTTCAACTTAAGGGGGGACCCCTACCACGTGGGTAGCTTCTGAACTCCCAGGCCCAGACCTCTGTGGCTGTGAGGCTCCAGGACTGAACAGGAAGGGTACTGGGACAGAACCAGTTTCTAGGTGAAAGGCCGGAAGTGAAGGGGATGTGCTGAGCCACAGGAGTGGGCAGGTGCTGGCCCTAACCCTCAGGCTTGTCTACGGCTCCACTTCACCGGGTGCTGGGTTAGCTCTGCTGGAGTGCAGAGTTCTCAGGCCAGGTGACACCATTAGCTCAGGGTTTTGCTCTTCAGCTCAGCATGGATGCTGTGTGTGTCCTCTAATCCCAGAAGGGCCTCAGCCACAGAACAGTCCAGTGATGGGGGTGACCAGCAGGCTGGGGGGACATGGTCGGCACCTGTTAGCAGAACCAAGAATCCAGACAGATGTATCTAGACGAAGAGGAGAAACTTGTCAGGGGCACAAGAGGATAAATACAGGATGGCCATCTTTTCCATGCTCCTGCCTGGCAGTGAATCTGGCAGAGGGAAGGGAGGAAAGATCCCTTGACTCTGTGAGATTCCTGCCCCTGTGATAACCTGGATTGTAACGCCTGCTGGGAATGGCCCTGTTCGTGGAAGCTGGAACTTCTACCCCGAGTCAGCGGCCTCTCCTCCTCTTGGCCCCATTGTATCTCTCCCCTAGCTGCTGTATATTCTGTGATCCTGGCTCCAGATTCTGAAGGTCCGGGCTGCTCTTGGGAGGGCTTCTGAGGCAGGTGGGCCCTTGCCTTTCTGGGCATGGGGTTGCAGAAGTGTCATGAGATCCTAGAGACACATGAACAAATGCCTATTCCAGAGAAGGAGGATGACAGACAATGGAAAGACGCCACCTGTCTATGGGTTTTCGTTGCTGACATGAAACACCATGACCAGAAACTGCTTGGGGAGGAAAGTGTTGATTGTTTTTACTCTTTTGGAGGGCCCGCCACCCAGCTCCCAAATAAGTCACACATGGAGGCTCATTCTTAATTATAAATGCCCAGCCTTAGCTTGGCTTGTTTCTGGCTCCTTCACTTAAATTATACCATCTACCTTTTGCCTCTGGGCTTTTTCCTTTACTTACTTCTGTATATCTTGCTTTCACTCTTACTCCGAGGCTGGCTGTGTGGCTGGGTGGCTGGCCCCTAGCATCCTCTCTCCTTGTTCTCTTGCTCCTTCTTGATCTCTCTTCTAGATTTCTCCTTCTATTTATTCTCTCTGCCTGCCCACCCTGCCTATCCTTTCTTGCTGTTGGCCATTCATTTCTTTATTGGACCATCAGGTGTTTTAGACAGGCAAAGTAACACAGCTTCACAGAGTTAAACAAATACAACATAAAAGAACATAATACATCTTTTCATCATTAAACAAATGTTCCACGGCATGAACAAATGCAACACATCTTAAAATAATATTCTACAGTATTTTCCCCTTTTTGTCTAAATTAAAAGGTTTTAAATTTAACATAGTAAAACTATACACAACAAAAAGTTACAAATAAGAATTACATTTACAATATTCAGTCCATTTGTATTTAGCTTACTCAGAGAAAATACTCCATTATCTATCCTATCTTAGTGAATCCAAAGTTTTACACCTAATATATTTACTATCAAAATTAAAGAAAACTGGGCTGGAGAGATGGCTCAGCGGTTAAGAGCACTGATTGTTCTTCCAGAGGACCCGGGTTCAATTCCCAGCACCCACATGGCAGCTTACAACTGTCTGTAACTCCAGTGCAGGCAAAACACCAATGCACATGAAATACAATAAATAAATTTAAAAATAAAATAAAGAAAACTATTAACTAATTATTTAGCCTTTAACTCCATCAAATATGTAATATTAACAACAGAGACATTTGGCTGCCTGGACAGTAACCCAAAGTTCCTCTGCAATGTTGGGGCATCCATCTTCAGCCTACAGGTCCAGAATATCTGGCAAACTTTTCAGTGAAGCAGGAATTTGAAGAACTGTCCTGCCTTGTTGTGGCACAGTTCAACAGTCTTTCCTGTGGGCTCTGCATGTCCAGTCTGCACAGCACATTGTCAGCAGTCAAAGGCAAGAGCAGTTTCTTTGCCCAGTGGCTAACCTTGCCACAATGAAAACAAACTCCTATGAAGTTTCTTTTTTGTTGTTGTTGTTTTTTGTTTTTTCGAGACAGGGTTTCTCTGTGTAGCTTTGCACCTTTCCTGGAACTCACTTGGTAGCTCAGGCTGGCCTCGAACTCACAGAGATCCACCTGGCTCTGCCTCCCGAGTGCTGGGACTAAAGGCATGCGCCACCACCGCCTGGCATGTGATAAGGTTTCTTTTTTTTTTTTAATTTATTTATTTATATGTATGCAGTGTTCTTCATGCATGTATACCTGTAGGCCAGAAGAGGGCAACAGACCTCATTACAGATGGTTGTGAGCCACCATGTGGTTGCTGGGAATTGAACTCAGGACCTCTATAAGAGCAGCCAGTGCTCTTAACAGCTGAGCCATCTCTCCAGCCCCCTATGAAGTTTCTTAAGTTTCCCAGGAGCAGATGTGTCTCATTGTCATGAAAAGCCCTAAGTTAACAAAACATTTTAAATGCCATATTCTAAAGGTCTTTGAAGTATTTGAAGACCAGTGTCTAAACTATATCTCTATATAATCTTGAAAGCATACTTAACATATCTACAAATATGATGGTTAAAAATGACTACTAACCTGTTTCTTGGTTATCCTATATAGTTTGTAATAACAGCTTTCAAAAACTAGAACTCTACCTATATTTTAAATGAACTACATAGGTGCAGTACCTTAAACAAGAGTAGAAGCATATATACAATATGTTGTAAGAGAAATAACCTTAAATTTGTATCAATATACAAGAATCCTTTAAACAAGAGTAGAAACATATATACAGTACTTTATAACAAAAATGACCTTAAATTTGTATCAATATACAAAAGTCTATATAAATACAAAATATTTGTTTTTTAGTTTAAAGTAGATTTAATAATCTATCCTATTATCATTCCTATATTCCCCTAAATATAACAAACATCCATGACTCACCAGTTAACCAAAAGCCAACCACACCCCTCTTGGGAATGTGGGCAATGTGTTCTCCAAACTGCTTCTTGCTGTCTGTGGGTGAAGGCCTCTTTAGGGTCCCTGAGAACATTTTGAGATAATAGCCAAATCCTGGGAAGACCAGCAGTAACTGTTGTTGATAGATATCATATGTCAAGATTCAGGAGGTCTCCCTTGATCAAACCTGATCCATATTATTCCTGAAGGAGTCCACAACCTCTCAACGTCTGTGGGAACAAAACTTAAAAGCATTTTTTACTTCCATTTGACAAGTTTTTTACTTCTTTTTTAAAGTTAAGGCATTAAAGTATCCTGATTGGTTCAATTTGGCAGTCCAGTTCACAATCCCATGCCTCTTAACTATTTTTGCTTATCAGCATTCAAAAAATTCAAAAACAACAATACTATATAGGACCCAGACTCCCTGTGTCTTTCCCATCTTATGTGGCTTTTTTCTTTTATATTACTTTTACTGTCTCTTTAAAGACTTTACTCTTTCTAAACTATTTGTTTCTTTCTATAACTGTCCATACCCTTTTTCTTTCTTAAGCCTATGCACATTGTAAAACACACTGGAATCTGTTTTAGAGATCTTTTCTGTCTAGACCTCTTTTACTGCATATCTTTTAGCCTTTTTTGACTGCATGAGCAAACTTTAGACTGCTAAGCTATACCTAGATCCTCCACACGGCCCTCTTGGCTGGCTCTGCCTGCTTCTCGGGTCCTGAAAGACAAGCCTAAAGCTCGAAGCCCTGTCAGAGGTATTTGATCAAAAACTGCATTCCACCCTCCTAACTGTAGGAAGCTGGTATCTGCTTGCCTTTTTTTGTTTGTTTTTTAAGCACTGCCGACTGAACAGCAGTGCCTCTTAAAGGAGTAGTGTCGTTTTTCTTTTATTTCCTTTTCTCTTTTTTTCTCAGCTTTCTCAGCACCTACATGGAAATTTGGCCCACATTGGTATGCCAATATGTTGTTGGTTATTTTTTATTCTTTTTATTCTTTGGAGGGTCTACCCACCAACCCCAAATAAATCACACATGGAGGCTTATTCTTAATTATAAACGCCTGGCCTTAGGTTGGCTTGTTGATAGCCAGCTTTTTTAAAATTATCCCATCTACCGTTTGCTTCTGGGCTTTTTCCTTTTCTTCTGTATATCTTACTTTCACTCTTTCTCCCTGGCTGGGTGGTTAGGTGGCTGGTCCCTAGCATCCTCCTCTCCTTGTTCTCTTGGTCCTTTTTTTTCCTCTCAGATTTCTCCTCTTATTTATGCTCTCTGCCTGCCAGCCCCACCTATCCTTTCTCCTGCCTTGCTATTGGCCGTTCAGCTCTTTATTGGACCATCAGGTGTTTTGGACAGGCACAGTAACACAGCTTCACAGAGTTAAACAAATGTAACATAAAAAAATGCAACACATTGCTGGGCTGTGGTGGTGCACACCTTTTATCCCGCGCTCAGGAGGCAGAGGTAGGCAGATATCTGTGAGTTTGAGGCCAGCCTGGTCTACAGAGTGAGTTCCAGGACAGCCAGGGCTGTTACACAGAGAAACCCTATCTCGAAAAACAAAACAAAAAAATACAACACATTTTTGCATCATTAAACAAATGTTCCACAGCATAAACAAATGTAACACATCTTAAAATAATATTCTACAACATGAAAGGGTTTATTTGGCTTACACTTCCATCTAGCTGTTCATCATTGAAGGAAGTCAAGATAAAAACTCAAGCAGGGCAGGAACCTGGAGGCAGGAGCTGATGCAGAGGCCATGGAGGGTGCCGCTTACTGGCCTGCTCCTCATGGCTTGCTCAGCCTGCCTTCTTATAGAACCCAGGACCATCAGCCTGGGTTCACACACAATGGGCTAGGCTCTCCCCCATCAATCATTAAGAAAATGCTCTCCAGGCTTGCCCACAGCCTGATTGTATGGAGGCATTTTCTTAACTGAGGTTCCCACTTCTCACATGACTTTAGTTTGGGTCAAGTTGATATAAAATTATCTAGCACACGGGCCTGGACAGATGGCTCAACAGTTAAGGGCACTGGCTGCTCTTTCAGACGACCCAGGTTCAAATCCCAGTACCCACATGGCAACTCACAACTGTCTGTGATCCAGCTCAAAGTGATTTGACACCTTTATATAGATGTAAATGTGGACAAAACATCAATGCATACGAAATATGAATAAATCATTTAAAAAATGTCCAGCACACTACCAAAGTCCAACTTGGTGAATGAGGTTGACAGCGCAAGAAAGTTGGAAACATGGAGCACAGGAACAGCCTTCAGAGCCCGACAGACTGAAGAGCCTGCCAGGCAGCTCAGTTGGTCGAGTCTCTTCAAGTCCACTTGACCGATCTTGAGAGTATTCTGGGCAGTCCAGCTCGTCGCTGCTGCTTCCACACAGCTGTGCCGACCCAAGCCTTTTTCAGGCAGCTTGGCATGGGTGCGTCTCAGCAGTCCTCACTGCTTCTATAGCCTTAGTAGGGAGGGGCTTCCAGGAGCCTTGGAGTTGTCCTCCCTAGAACATCCGGTATCCCCTCTCCCCCAGCCCCCGCCCCGGGTGTTTCGAGCCAGGCAGGGTTTATTTCTCCTCCTCTCAGACGTCCCATCTTAACGTGGAGGCTTTAGAATAGGCTGTCTGGGTGTTTTAGTTTGCTTTTTTATGAAGTAAATTCCATGAGAACATTGCCCTGCCCTCCGGAGTATCTTTGCTGCCACAGAGGAGAGTTCTCTTTTGTACCTATTACCATGAGTGTTGTGACAACTCTTAAAACAGGCGCGAGCTTTGGCTCCTGGTCTCCTGAGGGGTAGGGAAGCCACAGTGTTGCTCCCCAATGCCCCCCAGGAAAGACCCAGGGCCCTTTCTCTCGGACTGCCCCTTTGATTTAAAACTTATTTTGCCCCAGTGGCAGAGGAGGGAGTTGCCAGGATGTGCCCCAGCCCTTACACACCCTCTGCTGTAACCAACCGAACCCCAGATGACGGTGCCCAGCCATCTGCGATTGACCCGCCCCTCCTCCCGGGCAGGCCACGCCTTCCCGAGGCTCCTCCCACCCCGCACGGCCCGAGTCTCCGACCCAGTTCACCTGAACCCCACAAGGGACATGGTGACCCTGGCGGGGGGTACGACCTGGGAAGACCAAGGGCTTCATGCTGAACCGAGAGCAAGTCCGGCCGAGCACTCGAGGGCCTCTGCGGTCAGAAACAAGGCGGAGGTACGCCCGGTGAGCAGGGGACAGGGGCTGGTGAGCGCTCGGCGCGGCGGTGTCGGTGTCGCAGATGTCGGGTGCGAATTTGTCTCCGCGCCAAGCCGGGGAGCCGCCCGGGGCGGAGGCGAAGGCAAAGGCGAGCCGTGGCCGGCAGGCGGCGCCAGCGAGCAGCTCCGGCGCCTCCCTGGCAGATGAGCTCAGCTTCCGCGCGGTACCACGGCGGGCGCGCGCTGCGCAGCCCCGGAGGAGCGAGCGCCCTCCCACGCAGGCTAGTCCGAGCCCAACGGCTGCAGGGGTGGGTTTTGTAGGCTGGAAAGGACTGGCAAAGGTTGGGGAGAAGGGCTCGAAACTCTGCTGGTGTCGGGATCTGCGGCTTGGACAACACCGGCAAAGGAACTGAGCCAGAATTCTCCATGCTGGATAATTTGGGCGAGTCTGACATTTACCTCTCCGCTACCCAGTTCAGTATATGCTCCCTTAAATTTACCCTGACACTGACTGATAACCCAGATCCTGCTGCGACCGTAGCTGAATTCCCGCTTCATTCCTCATATTTAGTAGCAGGAGGCTGGGTTTCCTTAAGCTGAGCTGCAGGTGCCTACCTGATGCTCAAGTGTCAGAAGCCAAGTTTGGTAGACGGTAACCAACCACTGCAGGCGACAGAAAGTCCTGTTACACCTGTCCCAAGCCCTGGCCTGCCCCACCCATTACCTACAGGACTAGAATCCGGAGCTCTGCAATTCTCACTTGAAGCTTCTTCTATCTCTGCTTCTCAGGTGCTGGCATTAGTTTCAGGCCAGTGAAAAGCTGCTGGGGCTAGACCGTCATGGGAGAGGCCAGTAGAGATGAGTATAAGATCCAGTCTTTTGATGCAGAAACACAGCAGCTGCTGAAGACCGCACTCAAAGGTGAGCCGACCAGCCCTTCTACTTGGGCAAGAGCTGCAGAGGGCCTGAGTCCCAGAGCCAGGCAATGCCCAGCCTTCCCGTGGCTCCTGAGAATAAGTCACAAACTAACTCTTCAACTGGAAGACAAGCTACTTCTAGGCCATTATTTTTTAGATGAATCACAGAGTCCTGTCTAAGATCATAAAGCCTTTAAGTACCCTTGAGAGAGAACACAGTCTTCCCTTTAAAGCCTTTGCATTCATTCGGTGCAGTCAGCTCCCTTGGACGTTCAGAGCTGCCTGCCTGGGGACAGAGGTGGGAGAATCAGCTTGCTAGAAGAGATATGTAATTGCCTGGCCCCATGCCCTTGCATTGTAACACTCAGGACAGAAGTCTGACTTAACAATTAGCATTGGCCGTCATGTGCCAAGCTAAACCCGTTGGGGAAGCATCTGCACAGAGCTCATGTCTGGGGCCTCTGTGTTTTGAGAACACTTGGAGCCACATGATGGTACACAACTGTAATCCAAGCAGATTACAGAGGCAAGAGGATTAGCACATATTTAAGGCCAACCTGCTCTATAGAGAGAGTGCCTGGGGGAGGAGAAATGGCCCAGCAGTTTAGAGCACTGGATGTGAGGCAGGCATGGTGGCGCACTCCTTTAATCCCAGCACTGGGGAGGCAGAGGCGGGAGGATCTCTGAGTTCCAGGCTGGTGTGGTCACTTACACAGTGAATTTCAAGATAGTCAGGGCTACATAGTGACCCAGTCACACACCAAAAACAAAACCCAAAACCTAAAGAGCACTTGCAGAGGACCCAGAGTGACTCACAATCATTGGTAACTGAGCTCCCGGGATCCGATGCCTTCTAAACTCCTCCGGTTCCAGGCAAACACGTGGTGTGCATACATATGCAGACAAAATATTCATACACATAAAATGAGTGAACCTAAAAAAATTGCATGATGAGCTGTATAGGCCAGACAGGGCTATTAAACAGCGAAATTAGACTGTCTCAAAAGACCAAAAAAAAAAAGTTGTAGAAGTCTTGGCATTCAGTATACATTCTTCAACCTACTGCCAAGAAAATAAAACATGTATCCCAAGAAACTATATTTGTACTTTGATCTTTTTTTTTTTTTTTTTTTTTTTGGTTTTTTCGAGACAGGGTTTCTCTGTGTAGCTTTGCGCCTTTCCTGGAACTCGCTTTGGAGACCAGGCTGGCCTCGAACTCACAGAGATCCGCCTGGCTCTGCCTCCTGAGTGCTGGGATTAAAGGCGTGTGCCACCAGCGCCCGGCGTACTTTGGTCTCTTAATCATTTATTTATTTTTATTTAATTCTATTATTTGGCACAGAAGCTCTCAGTGTAGCCCTGGCTAGCCTACAGCTCACTATGTAGGCCAAGGTGGCCTCAAACTCAGGTCAGCATGCCTCCTGAGTGCTAGGATTAAAGGTGAGTGCCACACCTGGCAGTATACAATTAAATTTTTTTAAGATTTAGTTTATTTATATGTATAACTACTTGTACCAACATATGCAGTGCTTGTGAAGGCAAAAGAGGGTGTCTGGTCCTCCGGAGCCGGAGTTACAGGCAGCTGTGAACAACCCAGTGTGGGAGCTGGGAATCGAACCTGGGTCCTCTGCAAAAGCAAGTTCTCTTAACTACTGAGACATGGCTTCAACTCCCCTGTTTCCTGATTGGGTAACGAGGGTCCTACGTGCGAGCTGCCCTGCGCAGGGTTACAAGCAACTTCTTGGAGACTGTTTTCATTGGTGTGGTTGCTTTGTGTCCAGCCTTTGGCTTTACACACAGTGGACAGGCAGAGTGCTCATCCCTAAATTACACCCTTTACACCTCCAACTTTGATTTTTTTTTTCTAGACGGGATCTCACTATGTAGCTCTGGCTGACCTGGAACTTGCTCTGTAGACCAGGTTGGCCTGTCTTGCCTCTCAAGCCCTAGAATTATAGGTGTTCACCACTCAACCCAGCTTTCTTTTTTTGAGAGAGGGTCTCATGTAGTTCAGGCTTTCCTGGAACTCTGCATGTAGCCAAGGGTAACCCTTACCTCTAGATCCTTCTTGTTTCTACCTCCTGAGTGCCGTCTGGCTGGTTTTCCCTTCCTCTTTTAAGCATGTGATGGGGGTGCTCTGTTGCAAACATCTCAGGTCTTTGGGTGTTGTGGTACAAGACTTTAATCCAGTACTCAGGAAGCAGAGGCAGGCAAATCTCTGTGGGTCTGAGGCCTGGTCTACATCGAGTGTTCCAGGCCAGCCAAAGCTACATGGTGAGACCCTCTCTCAAAGAAAAACAGAAGCCACCTTCAATCCTCAGCAGATGGAGGCAAGTGTGATCACGCAGGCAGCTCTAGACTCCCCTCCTGTCTCTACCCCAGATCCAGGTGCTGTGGACTTGGAGAAAGTGGCCAATGTGATTGTGGACCATTCTCTGCAGGACTGTGTGTTCAGCAAGGAAGCAGGACGGATGTGCTACGCCATCATCCAGGTTGGGGGTGCTGGCAGAGAGGGAGCTGCCTTGAGGATGGCACCTCAGGATCAGGCACAAGCTGGCCAGCAGAAGACACAGGAGTTTATAGACAAAGGCTAGGGCGGGTGGAGTGGCCAGTGCCCTGCTTACCACCTTCTCCTGGCTCACAGGCAGAGAGTAAGCAAGCAGGCCAGAGTGTCTTCCGTCGTGGGCTCCTTGACAGGCTCCAGCGGGAGTATCAGGCCCGGGAGCAGCTTCGAGCCCGCTCCCTGCAGAGCTGGGTCTGCTATGTCACCTTCATCTGCAACATCTTTGACTACTTGAGGGTGAGGCAAGGGCAGTCACCCTGTGCTGCCGTGATGGCCTGTGTCCCAAGGCCAAGGCTGGATTGCTCCCCCTGGTCACTAATGCTACCTCCCTGCACCTGTTGCTCTCCCCACAGGTGAACAACATGCCCATGATGGCCCTGGTCAACCCTGTCTATGACTGTCTCTTCCAGCTGGCCCAGCCTGAGAGTCTAAGTAGGGAAGAGGAGGTGAGTGGCCATTCAGCCACAGGCTGTGGAGGGCATGTTGGTGTGGAGTCCCGGTCCCGTCCATGGAGGCTCCTCGGGTGCCTAGTAGGGGCATTTAAGGCCTGTAGCAAGTACAAGACAAACTAGTGTCTGGAATTTATCCAGAACACACAGTAGCAAGGCTGCCCAGGAGGAACCAACCTATGCTAGGAGTGGCAAGAGCTGTGGCCAGCTGTGGGCAGCTGGCCCAGAAACCAGCTCTTGAGTCAGGCAGTGAGTAGGGTTAAGCAACATTTGGAGTCAGGCCCGAGTTCGGCCTGGTCAGGTGTTCTGGGAAAGTCTCTGTGGTAAGATGTGGGCAATACCCCATTGTCAGAATGAAGCAAGGAGCCACCACACAGGGCAAGCATGGGACTCAGCAGGTGCTGGTCCTCCTTGTGGCTGACCAGGCTTCCCACTGCCCCTGCAGGTTGACTGTCTGGTACTGCAACTGCACCGGGTTGGGGAGCAGCTGGAGAAGATGAATGGGCAGCGCATGGATGAGCTCTTTGTCCTGATCCGGGATGGCTTCCTGCTCCCAATAGGCCTCAGCTCCCTGGCCCGGCTGCTGCTGCTGGAGATCATTGAGTTCCGGGCAGCTGGCTGGAAAACCACTCCTGCTGCCCATAAGTATTATTACAGTGAGGTTTCTGACTGAGCTAGGCTCCACATGTCGATGGCTATGCACACCTTCCTGTGACCTTCCTTTCCAGTTGGCCTCGTAGACCTTTCCAGACTCACCTTCCCTCGCTCTGGAGTTGTGGAGAAATCGAACAGACCTGGTCTTCCTCCAAGTCCTTTCAGCTTCTTTCTCCCACTTCTTCCTGGGCCAGGCAGGGAAGGCAACTCCTAACAACCACTGAGCTGTGAACCACTGCTGCAATAATACCTTGGTGCCTCAGTTTCCCCATCTGTAAAATGGGCAATCACAGCCATTGGTGGGATGCTTTGGGATGTTAAGGGCAGAAAGAGTACAAATTACAAGAGAAGTAGAGTGTTTTATACATTTTGTACAAAGACTACTGTGGAGATAAGCCTGTGTACTCCAGTCAGTTTTCATGAGTGACAGTGTCTCACCAGGTTGGAGGGGTTTCTAATAAATCTTTTCTGAAACCAAACTGCTTCATTTCGTAACAGCCAAAGGTGTACCCCAAGCTAATTGGACCTGAGTTTCTTGGAGGAAATCTCTAAGGAGACATGTTCTGCCTTAATGAGGTAGTAGGGTAGGGCAACCAGTTTGATTACGGGGCAACACATGCTCCTTCTGAGACCCTGAGTCTTACTCTGTGAGGGGAGCTGCACCCTCAATTTGTACCCACCCAACTTCTAGCCACATGCAAGAATCAAGAAGGGCTTCATAGGATCTAATATTGCATTACAAAAGGCCCTCTCCATCCTTAAATCCCTTCCAGAACTTTCCAGTAACTCGAAGTCATTTATTACTTTATTAGTAGTAGTAGTATATGTACAGACATTTTCCCTGCATGTATGTCTGAGTACTATGTACATTCCTGGTGCCCACAGTGGTCAGAAAAGATGCCAAGTTCTCTGGAACCAGAGTTACAGAAGGTTAGTGAGCCACCAAGTGGGTACTGGGAATCGAACTCTGGACCTCTGGAAGAGCAGCCATCTGTCCAGCCCCTCAGGTGTCTCCCACCCCTCCGTGCCCACTACCACCAGCGGTAGTGGGCCAGGGCACGGTTGGCCTCCGCCATCTTGTGCATGTTGTGCTTCCTCTTGATCACGGGACCCCTGTTATGAAAAGCCTCCAGCAGCTCGTCTGACAGCTTCTCCGGCAGCAGCGTCCGCCGTGGCTTATTCTCTCGGCACTCTGTGATCATCCACTTCATGGCCAGGAAGCGGCGCCGGCGGTCAGTTAGAGGTACGGGGACCTGGGTGAGGAGACGGGCTCCAGCTGGGACGGGGCTGGCTGTGAGGGCCGCCACCTCCTAGAAGCTACCACGTACTGTCTTAGAGTAGTCCTGGGATGGGGCCCAAGACAGAAACCCGTCTCTTCTCGGCTTTCTCGAGTGACATCAGTGAAGAAGAAACAGTCACTTGGTGAATTCAGTCAGCACTTTCCTTCCTAAGGAAAAGTTCTGCCAAGTCGACACAAGACCAGTTGGGACAGTCCTGCTACCTGAGGCAGGCTGGCTACTTCAGACCAAGGGTGCCTAAAAACACGACCTTCTGTACAAGAACCATTTTCCTGGCTCCCAGTGCAGACCAGGTACTATGCCACACTAAAGATACAGACAGGGGGAAAAAAATCCCCGAGTCTTGGGCGTTGCTACTAAAGGAGAAAACAACCTAACGCAATAATATAAAGTAAATATGCTTTGATAGGGATGGCTAGTTCAGTTCAATAATGATGGTCAGGGGTCAAGTTCTATTCTAGATACCGGCACATAAACACTCCTTTCCCAAGTGTAGCGTAGGCTACACACAGAACACTGGATAATGGGGAGGAAGTGGGCTCCCAAAGACGTTACTGAGTTACTCTGTTCTCTGTCCTTCCACCTTCTGCCTGTGGTTTTTACACTCTGGGCCTCAGATGAGTAGATCCTGACAGTGCCCAGTCTCTAGGGGTTATTATACATGGCCCAACTCTGGGCCCTCATTCCCCGATCAGTTTCACATGTGGGCTGCCCTGCTTTTTACTGCCCACTCACCTGGTAGAAATGGCCTCCTTTGAGGATAGACATCAGCCCAATCACAGGTTCACAGTTTTTCAGTGCCTGGTGGAAGATCCTGTAGGGGTTACGTTCAATGGTGGCCTGTTCCTCTGCAGAGGCAGCACGGTACTTCTCAAACTGTTTCCTCTTCACAGCTTCCAGAGTCTGCAAAGAGAGGGAAGAGGCTGCTCAGGCCCCTAAGAATTTGGCCAGTTCAGCTGGGAGTGGTGTTGCATGCCAGCGACTGAACTTGGGAGGTGGAGGCCGGAAGACCAAGAATTCAAAGTTATCCTCAGGTATATAGCACGGTCCAGGCTAGACTGCTCCATGAGACTGTCTTTCAAAGAAACTAAAAAGAGTTTAAGCACCTGCTGCTTTGCTAGACTGACACAAAGAACAGGTGAGAACTACCCCACCCACCCCACCCCACCCCACCCCCCAGCCAGGGTTTCTCTGTGTAGTCCTGGAATTAGCTCTGTAGACCAGGCTGGCCTTGAATTCACAGAGATCTGTCTGCCTTGCCTTGTCTCTCTGCCTTTTCAGTGCTGGAATCCAAGACCTCTCCAGTAATGGGATTTAAGGTGGGCGCCTCCATTCCCAGCTCTCAGAAATAAATTTTAGTGATAAAGAAACCCATTCTCTAGTTTTGAAGCTAAGGTGAAGAAACCAGACACAGTACAAAGGCAGCCCAGGGGAAAGAGAGAAAAGCAAAGAGGATTCTAGACACTGCCTTACCTGGGCCATGAGGGATCTGGCCAGTACTTTGTTGCCGTCTTTCATTATCATGTTGGTGAATTTGCTTCAAGGAGAAAAACATATTTAGCTTTCCAAGGCTGCGTTACAGAACCTTGCACAGAAACCTTCCCTGGGGTAATCCCAGCCCATGAAGCGCGTTTCCACCTCACCTGATGACAGGGTCTGCAAACACCGAGCTGGTCGAGGTTGCGGCGGCGGCTTTGATGAGCTGGGTTCTCTTGAGCTCCTGGTCATATTTCTCCTCTTCGGTGAGTTCCACCACAGGTTTGCGGTAATATTCCTTGTCAATCAAGGGATCCCTGAATTCAGGGGCATAGCGGCTGCACCTCACCTGAATTATCCTGGGAGTGGGAAGAGGAGGAAGCAGATGAGAACTCCACAAATGAATCTGTGACTCGACAAATGAACAAGCTTGACTTAACAATGAGCCCGTCTGCCATCACGCTGACGAGGGGCAGTACCACTGGGACCGCAGGCTAAACCTCCCAGCAGCAGTTCTGACTCCCGTCCCAAGAGGTAGGAAGCCCTCTCCGGAATCGGCCATTTAAACTTCCTCCTCTGCAAACACGACTAAGCTCTCCCTCAACCGCCGAGGAAATCCCAGTTCTAAGGTCTCTAGCAGGGCCGCATTTCGGCTCGGCTTAGGATCAACCCAACCTGTCAGGCAAGGGGCAAGCCGCTGACCCCACACTGGCCCGTTGAACGCTTGACTCAACCATCTCGGGCCGCCGAGCAGTGCGCTCTCGCCCCAGGACTCAGCGCGGCTTGTCTCTGGCTCCTTTCCTTTCCCCAGGTCCTCCCGTAAAGGCCTGCGCGGCGGTGCCAGCTACCCGTTGCCGTCTCACCCTGGAAGGTTCCACACAGCAAGCCTCACGCCCAAGGCCAGCCCGGACCACCGGCGCGCTGCCTGCAGTGCGGGGGCAGCCATCTTGGCCCGCTAAAGGACCCCAGAGGACGGTCCACAGCGCGCCTGAGTGAGTGACAGAACACGGATGAGAAATTGCACAGTTTATTCAAGAGTGGGTTTTACGTCAGAGTTTCCCTCCGAGGAAGAAGCAAGAAAATACGCCCGTCCGCCCGATATTCGACACAGTCCGGCGCGCCTGTCGGCGGCAGCTCTCAACTCTCTCAGGCCCCCATGCAGGCCCCGCCCCGGACCGGCTCGCGCAGAATCTCGCGAGGTTTGAGTCCGCAGGACCGGACTGGGCGGCTGCAATATGGCGGAGGCGGAAGGGGAGAGCCTGGAGTCCTGGCTGAGTGAGTATCCGGGGCCGCTTTGCCTGACCTCCAACCGCGGGCCGCCCTCCTCCCTCACCCCGACATCCCTTCTGCGGCGGCGGCGGCGGCTTGTGGCAGTCCGCAGCCGGCCTCGCCTCGCCGCGAGCATCCCGCGTTCTCACCCCTGGGCGAGCAGGGGCCCTTCCCTGCGGCGCGTCCTCCGGCTCCCGCGCGCGACACCTGCAGCTCGAGGTCTAGCAGGCCCGGGAAAAGCGACAGCCGGGTGCTTGGGGCTGACAGGCACAGGCGCGTCGCGGAGGTGGAGGGACCTTGTACCCCAAAGCCCCAAGGATGTAAAAGCTCCGGATTGGGCCGGTCCCTCTGGGAGTGGGGAGTGGTGCCACCCGTGCATAGCTGAGAGCTCCAGCATTGTGACCATGGACTCTGTCTGCCCGTTTTCCTCAGGCACGATGCTTGAAGTGAGAATTCTTTTCCAAAGAGTGACTGCAGGGAATGGAGTACTACAAATGCATTGAAGGGACGCGCTCGCGCTCGCTCTCTCTCGCGCTCGCGCTCTCTCTCTCTCTCTCTCTCTCTCTCTCTCTCTCTCTCTCTCTCTCTCTCTCTCCCCTCTCTCTCCCACACACTCACACTTAACGAGATAACCCCCTCTGGAGCAGTGTGAAGCTGTTGTATCATTGTGTTGCTGTCATTACTAATTTACATTGCTATGAAGGAATGAGGTTTAACATTAGCAGGCAGATCATGTGTTTAGTAAGGGTTAACAAGGCTGGTTAATCACAAGGGTTAATAAGTTAACTAAGGGCTAGCCCCCGGGGAGCCTCTTAAATGGAGACGGAAATTGGGATGCCTACATAGAGCTTTGTGCCAAGGTATTTTACTGAGTACAGTCTCCAGCCTTTTGGGTGTGAAGACTTGCCTCCCAGTTGCCTGGTTGTCCTTAAGAAATACCCTTCAGGAGATTGAAATTAGGCTTGAAGGGGCGCACATCCCCAAAGGGAAGAAAAGGACGATTACATTTGCAAAGTCTGATGTTGCAGGCAGGCCACTGAACAGTTCTCCCTATATGGAACAGTTCTCCAAGGAGTGCGCAGTGCTGGATTGCAGACACTGGTTAAAATCACTTAGCCAGGGAGCTCAGTGTACAGCCAGCCTGTAGTTCCAGCTGTTCTGGGTGATGAGGAAGGGCCTGCCTGGCTGACAAGTGAGTAAAACACTAAATAAGGCAAACAGTGACACCCCGTGTCCAAAACTGAAAACACTGAGGTTAGAGTTCATTGTAGAGTATTCAGCTGTCCTAGAAGCCTCTGTGTAGACCAGGCTGGCCTCAAACTCACAGAGATCTGCCTGCCTTTGTCTCCCCAGTGCTGGAATTAAAAGTGTATGTCATGTCACCGTACCTGGCTTCCAATCCCATTCTGGTTTGTTGTTTTTTTTTTTTTTTTTTGCTTGTTTTTGTTTTTCTATATAACAGCTCTGGTTGTTCAGGAACTTGCTCCGTAGACCAGGCTGGCCTCGAACTCACAGACATCCACCTGCCTCTGCCTCCTGAGTGCTGGGATTACAGCCCCAATCACATTCTTGAAAGATGAAAATAAATAAAATGTTGACCAAGTACCCAGCTAACAAAACCAGTTCTGTAGCCACAGTTCAAACAGGACACTCTGACGGCACTCAGACTTTTCCTAAAACCTTGCAGCTGGGAGTAACCAGAGTGGAATTGGTTCAGTGCGCAGATGGTAATGAGAAAAATTGGAATAATTTAAGAGACTTAAGCTGAGCTCAGCAGGGTTGATTTACTTGTTTTCTTTTTATGAGACAGGGTTTCAGGAAGCCTGGGCTGGCCTCAAACATGCTATGAAGCTGAGATTTCAGAAGGGCACCTTCCACATTTCTCATGACTGAATGGTGTGACTTGCACCAATGCCGTGAACCAGTCCCTGCCATCTTAGTGAAGGTCCTGTCACCCATGGTTTGCCTGCCTTACTACAGCAGCCTCTCCTGGGTCCACTCTACATACTGCTTCCAGGAGAGCGGTTACCATTGGTCACCCTCCCCCTGCTTCCAAACCTGCCCCCATCCTTCCAGTCCATCTCTGGTCATTCCCTGCCTTTTCTCAGTGGCCTTCTGGTGCTTTTCCCACCAGCACACAGTGTTCTTATTAACCCCAAAGCCCTGCTCCCCTTTGCTCAATTAAATGCTTCAAACCCATCTCAGAGTCGTCTTCTCACAAACCATCTCGTGATGACTTCAACCCTGTCTCAGGCCCTGCGTGGCGCATTCACTGGTGGTTAGCAAGCCGCTGCCATGGGGAGTGTTAGGATAAGGTTGTTTTCGCCAGGCATAGTGGAACACACCTTTAGTCCTAGCACCTGTAAGGCAGAGATAGATCTGTGTGAATTTGAGGCCAGCCTGGTCTACAGAGTGAGATCCAGGACAGCCAGGGCTGTTACACAGAGAAACCCTGTCTCTGAAAACAAAACAAAAGAAAGACAACGGGAGGCAGCCCCAGAATGCTGAGTGGTGACGTATAAAGCACAGAGCAGCAGGGGTTGGCGTTGGGCGGTTAGACAGATATAGGAGTAGAGAGGAAGTTAGGCTGGGAAGTCAGGGTCAAATCCAAGGACACTGGGAATTTCTGCCTGAGGGTTGAGTGTTGACAGCTAGCAGGCTCCCATTCCTCTTAGACCTGATTGAGCTATCCTGTTAGGAGGATTGATGGCAGGCTTCACCTAGAATGATGAGAACAAGCTAGGTGTGCTGGCTTTCATCTGTTCTCCAGCACTTGGAGGCTGAGGCAGGAGGCTCTCCCCAAGTTTGAGACCAGTACCATTAAGGGTTACCGAGTGAAACCTTGTTTCCAAAACAACCCCAAAAACCAGCATTGGCAAGATGGTTCAGCGAATAAAGAGGCTTGCTGTGCAAGCCTGGCTACGCTTGGGTGCAGCCATTGGGACCATGTAAATGTGAAGGAGAGCCAACTCTGTAAAGTTGTCCTCTGGCCTCCCCATGTGTGCTGTGGTAACCATGTGCCCCAGCTCAGACGTTGTGTACGACACAGAATGTGAGAGAAGAAGGGGAGGTTCTGGAAGGAGCAAGAAGTTGGGGTAGGGAGGAGAAAGATTGTACAAAGACGTGGATTAGGAAAGCGACTCCAAGAGCCAGGAAATGGCTCCACAGGTAAGAGCACTGGCCACCAAGCTTAAACCTGAGTTTGATCCCAGGGAGCCACATAGTGGAAAGAGAGAAGCAACTCCCACCAGTTGTCATTTAACCTCACACTTGTGACATACCACACATCTCCCCTCCTACCCCCTTCCCACATACACAATAAATAAATATGTAATAAAAATTTAAAAAAGGGGGAAAAAAGCAAGATTGCCAGGATATGGGGAAGGAATGAGAAGGGATCAGCAGTAGGGTTCAGACCTGGGTGCTTTTGAATAGCAGTACTGTATATAGAAATAGGGGAAGTCAGTAAGGAGAAGTGATAGGTCCTCAGACTTATTTGTGTATCAAAGTAACGTAATTATAGACTTGTTTATGTGCCAATTTCTTCCTCATGCTCACATAGAAGCACAGCTTCCTCAAGGGCCTGCCTGTGTTTTGTACTTTACCCATAGCTCCTCCAGTGTCTTACTTTTGAGATGTGTGAAAGCTTGAATCATCTCAGACAACTTCGAGGGTTATAGCAGTTTGTTTTCCATGAGTACCTGAGAGACAAGGCAACTGGGCCTTTCTCCTTTGGTTCAGGATGCAGCGGTACAGGTTGACCTTGACCCCTTCCTTTGCTGTGCTCTTGGGTCTGCTTATTTTTGGGTCATTGCTGTGTGCAGCTTGGTTTCCTTGGAGAGGCCAAGCCATGTGGAGTTCCAAGTAGTCAAAGCTGCTTGTTTTCATCCCTATCCTCTGACGTCCTGTAGGAGTCGAGGTTAGCAGTGCTTAAGCTAAGTAGTACTTAAGGAGAGTAGGACATCTGGAGGGATGGAAGCAGCGGAGGATGAGCCTTTCACCAGAGACCCAAAAGACAAACTGTCAGCAGAGGAGGACCCATAGGGGTGGTTCAAGGCCTAGTTTGGGGAGTGGGGGGGCACGACACTCCATTGTTGGCTCTGCTAGATGAGGAGAATGTGGGGTAGGCGAAGTGAGGAGCGCTTGGAGAGCTGGAGTCATCTAGTACCACCCGCAGTAGTTTTTCTAGTTGCTGTGGGTGACAGGTTATGCCTTCTGAGCTGCAGACACTGGGAAACGGTACTGTGTTCCCTGTCCTCTGTGAGAAGAAGGTGGAGCGTTCTGGGGGGCAGCAGTGCTTGGGAAGAGAGTTTTCTTTGCGGACTTTGCAGTTTTCTTTGCCTGTTGCTTTGTAGGAGTCGTTACGTTACTCTGTTTGGAAGGTGGTTTTCCCATTGTCCACTGTGCAAGTCTTGTGTCTCTCATAGAAGCATTAGGCATGGGTCTGGCTCTCGGTGTCTTATTTTGAGTCCTGTAGCTTCTTGGTTTCATGTGAAAACTTGAAGCATCCCAAAAGATAGCGATTAGCATAGCAAAGCCACACTGACACCTGAGACACCTGGGCCAGGAGACCTTGGTGATGACTAGTATTGTCTGGTGATTGGTGTAGGCTCGACAACATTTCTTATCAAATGGACACTGCTGATTAAAATAATCCCTCTTTGTGCTTGCCATTTGGAAGGTGTTACTAATTATCTTTCAAGATTGAGAACAGCCACCTTGGCATATATCTGTAATCCCAGCACTAGGAAGCAAAGGCAGGAGCATCAGGAGTCAAGGTCATCCTTGACTACATAGTGAGTTGGAGCCTAGCCTGGGCTACATGAGACCCTGTCTCAAAATAAATAAAAAGCCCTAGCCATGTGTTTTTTCCTCTAAATATAAACTTACAAACTTGTGTATGTTACTGGGAATTGAAGCTGGGGCCTCCCATATGCTCAGCAGGATCTCTACCACCTAGTTGTTCTCAACTCTAGTTACTTCTTACTTTGAGGTAAGTGTACTTGGAATTCTTCTTCACCCTACCAAGTCCAACGTTGAGATTGCAGACTATTTTAGTGACTTTTCTATCGCCCTGGCTAAGACACCATGACCAAGGCAACTTGTAGAAGACAATGTTTAACTTGAAGCTTGCACTTTCAGAGGGTGAGTCTGTGACCATCATGGTGGGAGCATGGTGGCAAGCAGGCAGGCATGGCTCTGAAGCAGTGGCTGAGAGTTTACGTCTTGAGATACAACCATGAGGCAGAGAGAGCTAAGGAATGGTGTGGGCTTTTCAAACCTCAAAGCCTGCCCCCAGTGACACACCTCCTCGAACCAGGGTCCTACAAGGCCTATGCCATGAGGCCTCATTCTCTTTCTTTGTTTTTGGTTTTTTGAGACACGGTTTCTCTGTGTAGTTTTGGTGCCTATCCTGAATCTTGCTCTGTAGACCAGGTTGGCCTCGAACTCAGATCACCTGGCTCTGCCTCTCAAGTGCTGGGATTAAAGGCGTGCGCCACCACTGCCAGTCGAGGCCTCACTTTCTAAATTCAAACTTTGGTCACTAGCGTCTTCGTGCTGAAGCCAGACCAGAAGCCCTGTCAGGCAGAACCAGCCCCAGTCTAAGACGACCTCTGCTCAGATGCCCTGTTCTTGGTGGAAGGGTGGGTTTTTAGGTTTCAATCCTTCACCTTACTGGTGATTTGTGGGTGGGGAATACAGAATTTCTTTGTAACCCAAGCCGCCAGAAATGCCTGACCTTCCTGCTTCTGTTTTATGAGAGTTGAGATTGTAGACATCCATTGGATGCCAAGCTTACCTGGTGCTTTATGTTTGTTTATTGGTATTGGTCATTAAACCAAGAGCCTTGTACATGCTTGGAAAGTCCTCTACAACTGAGCTATATCCCCAGCCTTTTTCTGTTTTTCTATTTGCTTTTTTTGGTTTTTTTTGGTTTTTGTTTTTTTGAGACAGGGTTTCTCTGTGTAGCCCTGACTGTCCTGGATCTTGCTCTGTAGATCAGGCTGGCCTCCAACTCACAGAGATCCACCTGCCTCTGCCTCTTGAGTGCTGGGATTAAAGGCATGTACCCCTAGGCATTTTTTTCCCCTTTTTTAAAAAATTGTGAAACAAGCCAGGCAATGGTGGCACACAGCTTTGATCCCAGGGAGGCAGAGGCAGGCAGATCTCTGTTTGTTTGAGGCTAGCCTGGTCTGCAAAGCAAGTTCCAGGACAGCCAGAGCTACACAGAGAAACCTTGTCTCAAAAAAAATTGTGAGACAAGGTCCTGTTAAGTTGTCCAGGTTAACCTTAAACTTATTTTGTAGCCCAGGCTAGCCTTGAACTTTCAGGCCTCTTGCTTCAACTTCTCACGCCGTGCTCTCAGGCCTAGACCCAGTGGTGATTTTTTTTTTTTTTTTAAAGATTTATTTATTTATTATGTATACAGTGTTCTGTCTGCACATATCCCTGCAAACCAGAAGAGGGCACCAGATCTCATTACAGATGGTTGTGAGCCACCATGTGGTTGCTGGGAACTGAACTCAGGACCTTTGGAAGAGCAAGCAGTATTCTTAACCTCTGAGCCATCTCTCCAGCCCCAAGTGGTGATTTTTAAAGTTAAGAAAACACAGCTTGGTGTGGTGATGCATGCCTACAATTTTAGTACTTGAGATGCCAAGGTAGGAGGATCATTGTGAGTTCAAGACCTGCCTGGGCTGAAGTATAAGAATCTTAAAAGAGCCGGGCGGTGGTGGCGCACGCCTTTAATCCCAGCACTTGGGAGGCAGAGCCAGGCGGATCTCTGTGAGTTCGAGGCCAGCCTGGGCTACCAAGTGAGTTCCAGGAGAGGCGCAAAGCTACACAGAGAAACCCTGTCTCGAAAAACCAAAAAAAAAAAAAAAAGAATCTTAAAAGAGGGTGGTGATGGGCCGGGCGGCGGTGGTGCACGCCTTTAGTCCCAGCACTCAGGAGGCAGAGGCAGGTGGATCTTGGTGAGTTTGAGGCCAGCCTGGTCTACAGAGCGAGATCCAGGAATGGTGCAAAGCTACACAGAGAAACCCTGTCTCTAAAAACCAAAAAAAAAAAGAGGGTGGTGATGGTGGTGAGCTGGCTCAGTCAGTAAAGGTGCTTGCCACCACGTCTGAGTTTTGATTCTCACATGATAAAGGAAAACTCACATCTGGCGTTGGTGGCGCACACCTTTGATCCCAGCACTCAGGAGACAGAGGCAGGTGGATCTCTGTGAGTTTGAGGCCAACCTGTCTACTGAGCGCGTTCCAGGACAGCCTACAAAGCTACACAGAGAAACCCTGTCTTAGGGGACAAAAAAAAAACTCACATGACAGAAAGAGAGAACCAGTTCCTATAATTGTCCACCGACTTCCACATTCACAGTACTTGAGCCCCACCCATGCCTCCACCCCCCCAAGTAAATAAGTGTAAAGAAGACGAAAGCAGCCACATTTAGAACCAAAATCTAGAAACTTAGGAGGTTAGCTTGTGTAATGTTGGACGGTCTGTCACTGCAGAAGACCAAGGCTCTTGGAGAAAATGTGCGGCTCAGGCTTTCTCTTTTCTCTGGGCCTGAGGCTCTGAACACAGAGAGCAGAATTCAGATCTGCATCAGAGCCTTTCACCACCCGCAGCTGAGCCATCTTCTTTTAGCACATATGCCAAAGTAGCAGGAAGGAGGCCAAAGCAAGTGTTCTGGGCTTTACATCTAGCGCTGGAATTCTAGAATTTCTGTAGCCCTCAGAATGCTCACAGGATTTGTCTGTACTTGATCATTGAAGGCAATTTAAACAGGGTGCTGAATCTGTTTATGCAGGGAAAGACTGCACAAGATTGGTAGGTGTTTAATTAGAGCCAAATACATTTGTAGAGGGTCCTCTGCAACTTCAGAAATCTTTAAAGCATTAAGAAAGGTTAGGAGCCGGGTGGTGGTGGCGCACGCCTTTAATCCCAGCACTCGGGAGGCAGAGCCAGGCGGATCTCTGTGAGTTCGAGGCCAGCCTGGTCTCCAAAGCGAGTTCCAGGAAAGGCGCAAAGCTACACAGAGAAACCCTGTCTCAAAAAACCAAAAAAAAAAAGAAAGGTTAGGTCGGGCTGGAGAGATGACTCAGCCATTAAGAGCACTTACTGCTCTTCCAGAGGACCTGAGTTCAGTTCCCAGCACCCACATGGCAGCTCACAACTATCTGTAACTCCAGTTCCAGAGAATCTGACACCTTCACACCAGTGCACATAAAATAAATTTAAATAAAAAATATACCATTAAAAAAAAGAAAGGTTACGTCTAGAAAATGTTTGTGAAGGATCTGTAGGTTTTTCGAGACAGGGTTTCTCTGTGTATTTTTGGTGTCTGTCTTGGATCTTGCTCTGTAGACCAGGCTGTTCTCAAACTCACAGAGATCTGCCTGCCTCTGCCTTCTAAGTGCTGGGATTATAGGTGAGTGCCACCATCACCTGGCTGCTTTCTTATTTTTTTTATTGCAACTTCCAAAAATATTAGGCAGAAAGCAGGATTTATATTTGTTGTCTGGCTGAACTGTGGAAACATCCTTATGAAACAAATTTGGAAGCAAACTTACTGTGTTTAAAAATTGTGAAGACATGCCAGGTGGTGGTGGCGCACGCCTTTAATCCCAGCACTGGAAGGCAGAGGCAGGTGGATCTTTGTGAGTTCGAGGCCAGCCTGGTCTACAGAGCGAGATCCAGGAAAAGGCGCAAAGCTACACAGAGAAACCCTGTCTCAAAAAAACCCCAAAAAAAAAAAAAAAAAAAAAAAACCCAAAAAAAAATTGTGAAGACAACCTTGTGTTGTGAATTGCTCTTCTAACAGTTTTCCTCTGTTTTGTGCCCCAAGATAAAGCTACCAATCCTTCTAACCGCCAGGAAGACTGGGAATATATCATTGGCTTCTGTGATCAGATCAACAAAGAGCTTGAAGGGTGAGTGCCAGTGAGAGAGAAGGCTAAAACCTGACCAAGGAGGGCTGGCCCGATGGCCCTCCATCTGCAGACTGACTCTAGTGTGCTTGTCTACCAGGCCCCAGATCGCTGTCCGACTCCTGGCTCACAAGATCCAGTCTCCACAGGAATGGGAGGCAGTGCAGGCCCTCACGGTAGGTCTTTGCTGCCAGAGATGAAAGCAGTGGATATTCACTTGCTCAGGTCTTTCCTCACACACGCATTAGGCCATCGGTGGTAATCAGGCATGCCCAAAGTCCAGTGATACAGGTTGAGCATATCTAGAACATGTCAATCAGCTGGTCTGCAAGTACTCATGCCTCTAGACCTAGCACGGAGGCTGCACAGGTAACTGAGAGATCCCAGAGGCGGGACCTTCAGTCCAGTACAGGGCTCAGAGAGGACTTAAGTAGTCTTGACACTTAAGAGTCAATGGCTCATGGACAGAGTCAGGCAGATCTCTGTGAGATCAAGACCAGCCTGGTCTACAAAACAAGTTCAGGACACCCAGCACTGCATAGAGAAACCCTGTCTCAAAAAAGAACAAAAAAGTCAGCCAGCCGGGCTGGAGAGATGGCTCAGAGGTTAAGAGCACTGGCTGCTCTTCCAGAGGTCCTGAGTTCAATTCCCAGCAACCACATGGTGGCTCACAGCCATCTGTAATGAGATCTGGCGCCCTCTTCTGGCCTGCAGGGATACATGCAGACAGAACACTGTACACATAATAAATAAATAAATCTTTAAAAAAAAAAAAAGTCAGCCAGTCAAAGAAAAGCCTGGGAGATCCAGTTGGTGGCATACCTGAAGATGCTGTCTGTACTAGTGAAGATGTCATGCTGATAGTCAGGGCCACAAGGGCAGAGGTCAGTATTTGGTCAGGCAGTGAGGGGAACATTCAGGTGCTTCCCTGCTCCCCAGACAACAGCCAGATTTAGAGACTCTGGGTCCTTTCTGACCTTGACTTCATTTGGTTCCTGGAGACAGAAGAACAACGGTGTGTAGAGGCCCAGGTGCAGTGCTCTTTCCCTGTGGAGCCAAGACCTTTACAACAGTGATTTTCAAGGGCAGTCAACCTCCTGGTTTGGTTGATTGATTGATTTTAAGATGTCTCAATCCTTCTGTCTCCATCTCTAAAGTGTTAATACTACAGGCATGTGTCACCATGCCTGGTTTGCAAGGAGGCAGTTTTGGTCTCCTGAGGACATTTGATAGTGTGGGGTACTTTTATTGTAGAGGGTAGTGCAATAGTGCTGCTGGCTTCTAGAGTGGGGTAACCAGGGGTGCAGCTAACTATCCTGAAATGCATGGGACAGCTCCAGAGCAAAGAGGGGCTAGTCTGAAATGTCAGCCAGGCTGCAGTGGAGAAACCTTGCTTTAAAGAAACAAACCACTGGGAGCTGGGGAAGCTGGCTCAGTGGTTAGGACTACTGGCTGATCGTCAGAGGACCTGGGTTTAATTCCCAGCACCCACATGGAAACTTATAACCATCTGTAACTCGAGTTTTAGGGCATCCCATGCTCTCTTCTGGCCTCCTCTAGCACTGTACACATGTGGTGCACAGACATACAGGCAGACAAATACCTGTATACATAAAACAAAATCCTTCCCTATGTATGTGTGTTTATTTTAAAAAGAAACTACTGGACATGTTATCACATGCTTTTTGATTTATCGAGACAGGGTCTCTCTGTGTAGCTTTTAGAGCCTGTCCTGGAACTCACTTTGTAGACCAGGCTGGCCTCGAACTCACAGAGATTCACCTGCCTCTGCCTCCCCAGTGCTGGGATCAAAGGCTTGTGCCACCACCACCCCACCTATCATATGCTTTTAATCCCAGCATTTGTTATCAGACACTTAATTCCAGCACTTAGTAGACAGAGGCTGGCAGATCTCATTGAGTTCCAGACTAACCTGCCTCAAAACAGAAAAGCAGAGACAAAACCAAGGGACTAAGGGGGATGGCTCAGTTGGTAGAGTGCTTGCAAGCATGAGGACCTGAGTTCAGTCCCTGGGACCTACAGCGAACACCAGATGTAATTCTTGGTAACAAAGACAGGTGGACATTGGCCAGCCAGCCTAGACTAATTGGTAGTCCTAGGCCAGTGAGAGTTCCTGTCTCAAAACAAGGTGGACTTCATTTAAGGAAGGGTGCCTGAGGTTAACCTGGCTTATACACACATATGTTCAGACCTGAACACTGACATGTACAAGCTGCCTGAATGATGGGGCCCCAAGCAGAATAGGAACGTGCAAAAAATGGAGGCAAGGGAAATGCCCCATCATCTAAATGAAAGATGATAGATTTAAATATCTACCTCCATAAAAGGTTGGTTTTCAGAAAGGACCCTGGACCCTGAGTCAGAGGACCTTTCTCCTTAGAACTTGGTTTTCCTCCTAAGGTTCCAAGTCAGTATCTTTGTGGAAGGCCCTTGCAGGTCTGGCAGCAAACTGTCTTGGTGTCTGGGTCTCAACATTTCCTGCTCTAGCCCTTGTGTAGCATTCTCTGCAGAGCATGCCATTAGAAGGGAGGATTTGTGTTGAGTGGTTCTGTGACTTAGCCTCCATTCCCAGGGGAGAGTGCACCATTTCTCATAGTGAATCCCTTCACCTAGGTCAGGTTCCTTAATGCTGCATGGGGCAGTACTGAGCTCCTCCCCTTGCCTCATACAGTATTAAGGATCCTGCCTCAACTTCATGTGCCATGCTTTGTTCAAGGCCATGGGAGACCTGCCCCTTTCTGAATGGAGATGGAGGAGGAGTGGAAGGGGAGAAGGGGTCTAGGTGGGAATATCCTGAAGTGCATAGGACAGCTCCAGATTGGGGGAAAATGTTATTTAAATAAAATAAAATATATATTAAAAAATACTGTATGTCTCAGGTGCCATACCTCCTGTCACAGACTGCCTCTCTCTGTGTGGCTGCAGGTGCTAGAGGCATGTATGAAGAACTGTGGGAGGAGATTTCATAACGAAGTGGGGAAGTTCCGGTTTTTGAATGAATTAATCAAAGTCGTCTCTCCAAAGGTCAGTTGATAGCAGTGTCCTGTGTTCTGGGAGCTGCTTTTATGTCCCTTCCTTTTTTACTGGCTTTTCTGGTCATTTAACATCTTCACAGAGATGATGCTCTGTGTCCTGTACTTGCAAACCTAGAAATTTCTAGGGTTCCTAGAAATACCAATGACTGATCAATCTGAGGTCTGAGTAGCCTCCTGATGGACTCCCAGCATAAACATGGCTGTATGTGTCCAGGAAAAGTGTAGAAAGCTAATACTCTGGGTCTGGAGAGATGGCTCAGAGGTTAAGAGAACTGGCTGCTTTTCCAGAGGTCCTGAGTTCAATTCCCAGCAACCACATGGTGGCTCACAACCATCTGTAATGAGATCTGGTGCCCTCTTCTGGCCTGTAGGCATACACGCAGGCAGAACAGTATATACATAATAAGTAAATAAAAAAAAAAGAAAGGAAGAAAAGAAAGCTAGTACTCTGTACTCCTAGCCTACATTGGGTACAAAGTTTTGCTTATTTGCTCCAGTGGCCGGGGTCTGTTGGGTAGCTCTAGACAGAGGGAACCATATCTCACGTTGGTGGCATTCTCAGACAGTCCTTCAAGCAGATGTAGTTGTAGGGCTCTGGAGAAATGGCTCAGAGGTTAAGAGCACTAACTGCTCTTCCAGAGGTCCTGAGTTCAATTCCCAGCAACCACATGGTGGTTCACAACCATCTATACTCAGATCTGATGTTCTTTTCTGGTGTGCAGGCATACATGCAAATAGAGCACATAAAATACATAAATAAATCTTTAAAAAAAAAAAAAAGGCTGGATGGTGGTGCCAGGCACACTTTTAATCCCAGTACTTGGGAGGCAGAGGCAGGTGGACCTCTGTGAGTTCAAGGTCAACCTGGACTACAGAGTGAGTCCAGGACAGCTAGGGCTGTTACACAGAAAAACCCTGGCTCAAAAAACCAAAAAAAGAAAGAAAGAAAATGTGGTTATCAGGCTGGAGACGTGGCTCAGTGATTAAGAGCACTTGCTACTGTCCCAGAGGACTCATATTCAAATCTCAGCACCCACATTGGATGGCTCATGAATGCCTGTAATTATAGCGTCATTGGCATCTGACACCAACTTCTGACCTTTACAGGCACCAACATACTCATGGGGGAACACTCAACATACATAAAAATAAAAATAAATCTTTACTGGACTGGAAAGATGGCTCAGAGGTTAAGAGTATTGACTGTTGCTGGGGTGTGGTGGCGCATGCCTTTAATCCCAGCACTCAGGAGACAGAGCCAGGTGGATCTTTGTGAGTTCAAGGCCAGCCTGGTCTACAGAGCGAGTTCCAGGAAAGGCGCAAAGCTACACAGAGAAACCCTGTCTCGAAAAACCAAAAAAAAAAAACCAAAAAAAAAAAGAGTATTGACTGTTCTTCTAGAGGTCCTGAGTTCAATTCCCGACAACCACATGGTGGCTCACAACCATCTCTGAGATCTGGTGCCCTCTTCTGGTCTTCAGGATACATGCTGTATACATAATAAATAAATAAATCTTTTTAAAAAAAATCCTCACAAGTGTGTTCAGTTTACCTTAAAAAAAATACATAAAATAAATAAATAAATAAATCTTTACTACATTGCCCGCCTATTTCAGTGTCTCAGGCAGCTTCTGCATGGAAGCCCAGGGAGAGGGTCTTGGCCCTCTTCTGGCTACAGACTCTGTCGCTTCCATCCCTACTGTGTCACACTCTATAGAGTGCTGGGTTTGTTCAAGTAGACTTGTGAACTGGAATGGGGAACACTCTGTCAGGAAAGCAATTCTCCTCACTTCCTTTTGCCTCTAGTACTTGGGAGACAGGGTGTCTGAGAAGGTGAAGACCAAGGTCATCGAGCTGCTCTTTAGCTGGACGCTGGCCTTGCCGGAGGAAGCCAAGATCAGAGATGCCTACCATATGTTGAAGAGACAAGGTGTGTGTTTACCTCTCCATTAACCTCAGGGTGGCCCTCCCTGAGTGCTGGTCACAGCAAAGAAGACAGAGGAATGCTGGGGTTCCCAGGGTTCTGCCCTGTCTCTCCTGTAGAGAGTTGTGTGAGGGCTGAGATGAGAGCAGCCTGCTCTTTTTCTTGCTCCTCCTCATAGGGATTTGGCCCTCAATGTGTGAAGGACAAGGTGACCATTGCCTAAGTACGTACTCTGTCATTTGTGTCTCCTCAGGCATAGTGCAGTCGGACCCCCCCATCCCCATGGACAGAACGCTCATCCCCTCTCCCCCACCACGTCCCAGAAACCCTGTTTTTGATGATGAGGAGAAGTCCAAGGTAAAGTACATCTTGGACCTAGAGTCTTTAGATGACTCGTGGCAGTAGCAGGGTGAATGTGTCAGGGTGGCTTTTTATTTTTTATTTTTAGTTATTTATTTATTGTTTTTCAAGACAGGGTTTCTCTGTGTAACAGCCAAGGCTGTCCTGAACTCACTCTATAGACCAGGCTAACCTCGAACTCACAGAGATCTGCCTGCCTCTGCCTCCCAAGTGCTGGGATTAAAGGCATATGCCACCACCACCCGACCACTTTTGATTTTTTGAGACAGTATTCCACTATAGCCTAAACCAACCTTGAACTTGATATCTTTCTGCCTCAATCTCCTGAGTGGTGGCATTGTAGGCTTGAGCCATCCTACCAAACGTGAAATGGGGTCTTGCTTGGTATTGCAGGGAGCTATAGTTTCTTCTGGTCTGCCCAGTGGGGCTGGGCACACGCTCCCCTTCCTTCACTTTAGACACCTTCTCTTCCAGCTTTTAGCCAAGCTGCTGAAAAGCAAGAACCCAGATGATCTGCAGGAAGCTAACAAACTCATCAAGTCCATGGTGAAGGAAGTGAGTGGGTCCTGGTCCTCTGGGCGTGGGGCACAGAAGCATGTCACCACAGAGCAGAAATCCTTCCCCAGAGATCTTAGGCCTGTCTTGTTCACTCTGCACCAGCCCTGACCTGGAGTGAGTTTAGGAGGAGCCTTGTATTTTCTATGGGAGAAAGCAGTAGAGGAGTGGTGGAGGGGGAGGTGTCACTGTAAAAGAACGGCTCGGGGTAAGTCAGTCTGAGGGAGGCCTATAGTCTTAGGAAACAGGCTAAGCAGAGCTCTGAGACTTGGCCTCTGCCCTTGTACTGTTGGGTAACGAATGAGCCCTGCCTGGTGGTGGAAAGGCAAGCTAGGTGAACTTGTTTTTTCCTGCACCCTCTTGGCTGAGGCAGGATGAGGCTCGAATCCAGAAGGTGACCAAGCGCCTGCACACGTTGGAGGAAGTTAACAACAATGTCAAGCTGCTCCATGAGATGCTCCTTCACTACAGCCAAGAGTACTCGTCGGAGGCTGACAAAGAGCTCATGAAGGTAAGCTGCTGTGAGCTGAGAGCTTGATGCCCACATTGCTCTGCCCCAAGTGGGATCCTGGTCTGGTGAGGACATGCTTGCTTTTGGGGCTTGTTCATGGCAGCAGAGGGCAGTGTCCCTGTTTTATACAACTAACACTCCAGGTGCAAGTGCTCCAGCAGGGGAATGAAGGACAGTGCTTTTCTTTCACAGAGCTAACACTCCTGGTGCAAGTGCTTGCCCGAGACTCCAGAGTCAGTGTCTAGGTGCTCACTCCTACTCTCTGCCTTTAAGCCTTGGGCACACGTGGGTGGGAGACTTCCCTGAGACCCTGATGGTGACGTTGTAGCTTAGCTGTGTTTTCTGAGGCGCACATCTCGTCTACCATCTGAGTGACTTTGAGTTGATACAAAGACTTGGGCAACTTTGTTGAGTGAATCCTGACAGCACAAAGATGCATGCTCTGGTCCCAGTTCTGCCAGGAACTGTCTGTGGCTGAGGGGCATCCCACATTGAATCAGATAACTGCTGAGAGCTTCTGTAGTTGATTTTTATGTCCGGGTCTCTCTCAGGAGCTGTTTGATCGTTGTGAGAACAAGAGACGGACGTTATTTAAATTAGCCAGTGAGACAGAAGACAATGACAACAGTTTGGGTGAGCATAAAGAGTACTTGGCAAGGATCTGTGTGAGAGTCGTCACAGCCCTCACAGTGAGGAGTCTCTTTTGCTCTAGGGGACATCCTGCAGGCCAGTGACAACCTCTCCAGGGTCATCAGCTCTTACAAAACCATTATTGAAGGGCAGATCATCAATGGTGAGGTGACCACCTCAACCATGCCTGACTCTGAAGGTACATCCTATGATTCCCCATTCTGGGACCCTCCAGACCAGCCCCAAGTCCTGACCACTGAGCCACAAGTGGCAAGTCTTAGGGCCTGAGGGAATTCCCAACCATTTCAAGTGGTCTTTCGCTTCCCAGAGGCTAGAGGTATGCATGGAGATTGTTCTGCTTGCCTTCTCAAGCCTGGTTTTCAATTTCCCTAGAGAAATGCTACTGATTTGGGACAGAAGCTAAAAGCCTTAGCGCCTGTGTCCGGCCAGGGTCCTGCCTTCTACTACACAGGCACTACATTGACTCTGAATGTTTTTGTTCCTCTTGTGTTGACCCATCCAGGAAATGACCACTGCAGTAACCAAGGCACCCTCATCGACCTTGCTGAGTTGGACACCCCCTGCAGCTCATCCCCAGTGTTGGCCCCAGCGCCTGCCCCAGCCACTTCAGGCATCCCTATCCTCCCTCCACCCCCCCAGACCTCTGGGCCTCCACGAAGCCGGTCATCCAGCCAGGCCGAGGCTCCCCCAGGGCCTGAGAGCACGAGCAATGCCCTCTCCTTGCTAGATGAGGAGCTGCTCTGCTTGGGTACGTGCAAGGGTGGCATTAGAGGAAGGGGTCTCTAGTACGCTTTGTCAGTCAAGTTCCGGAGGCCACTGTGGATGCCAGGGTGAACATGGCTCTGGTGCAACTCAGCTCCTCTCTTCCTGGGAGGCCCTTCAGTCTCGTGTAAAGGGTGGAAGTGGATTTTCTTCCAAGTCTAGCTGTAAGGGAATACTTTCTCTGTACCCATTCATCAAGTAATGTCACTTGTCTTATCAAATGACCATTCTTCAGGGAGTTGGGGAGGTTGCTGCCTCAGCCCAGGGTCTCATCTCATTGAGTTTTCTTTTGTGTTCTTAGGCCTTACTGACCCAGCCCCCACTGCTTCCAGAGAGTCAGCTGGAAATAGTCAGTGGCACCTGTTTCAGGTAGCGGCACAGCATTGGCTACCTCACTAAAGTACACAAGGACCAGAACTCACCGGTTCCTTAGTCTGTGCCTGGCTGCACTTTGCTAGAGCCAGAGCGTCTGTATTCTCTAGAGCTCTGTCCAGTGTAGCTGGGACACGCTGCCTCCAAGGGTCGTTCCCCGACATTTAGTTCTGTGGGTCATGATGGGATGCCTCAGAAGGACCGACCTGGTGGGTTATGAACTGTGGTGTTGCTGCAGCTCCTCCTAAGCCTTTACTCACCTGCTGTTTCTGTTGTACAGAATGAACCATCATCAGACCTGGACTTCTTCAACCCCAGGCCAGTGTCTGCGGCCTGCTGCCCCTCAGATGGATCTCTGCTCCCTCCCCCAGTGTCTACCTCAAGTACGTCCCAAGCTCCACTGCCTGCTCCCTTCCCAGCTCCTGTGGTCCCAGCCAGTGCACCAGCCCCCAGCACTGGTTCCTTCATGTTCTCTTCTGGACCTGCCCCAGCCTCGGTTCCAAAGGCTGATCCCACAGCCCCAGAGTGCCACAGCTCAGCACTGGGTGACAGCAGCTCGCACCGCCTAGATGCCCTTGATCAGCTTCTGGAAGAGGCCAAAGTGTAATGGATGGGAGAAGAGAGGGTGGCTGAGGGTGGAGTGTCATGTGCAGTCAAAGGGAGGCTCCAGAGGACGGGGTATGGGGATCCCTTTTGATCCTGTTAATTGGGCTGGAAGCTGGTGGCCCTGGGTAGCTAGGGATTGGCCTTGGTTAAGGGGTTGCCCAGCAGTTCTAGCCTGCCCTCTGACTTGTCCTCTGTCCTCCTTCCTTCCCCCCAGGACCTCAGGCTTGGTGAAATCTGTTTCTTGTTTCTCCCCTGGGGCCACCTCTACCTCCCCACTGCTTCCCACCTCTACCCCAGCCAGGCCTCTCCTGCCCTTCTCAACGGGGCCTGGAAGCCCTCTCCTCCAATCACCAGCCTTCCAGTCCCAAGGCAGTCCTCTGAGGGGCCCAGAGCTCTCCCTGGCCAATGTCCATGTGCCCTTGGAATCAATCAAGCCTAGTAAGTGTTGGAGACAGGCAGCAGGCCTCACGGCCAGTGTTTACAGGTGTGTGGTCAGTGGGTTCTGACTCTGCAGGGCTCACTTCTGGTTAAGGGCCTACTTGCCTGCTGTCTTAAAATTTTTTTATTTTTTATTTATATATATTATATAATATATATATATATAATATATATATATTATATAATATATATATGTTTTGTTTTGTTTTGTTTTTCGAGACAGGGTTTCTCTGTGTAGCTTTGCGCCTTTCCTGGAACTCACTTGGTAGCCCAGGCTGGCCTCGAACTCACAGAGATCCGCCTGGCTCTGCCTCCCAAGTGCTGGGATTAAAGGTGTGTCACTGCCCGGCATTTTTTGTTTGTTTGTTTTTTGGTTTTTCTAGACAGGCTTTCTCTTTGTAACGGTCCTGGCTGTCCTGGAACCCACTTTGTAGACCTGGCTGGCCTTGAATTCACTCAGATCTGCCTGCCTCTGCCTCCTGAGTGCTGGGATTAAAGGCGTGTGCCACCACCTCCTGGCTGTCTTAAAAATTTTTTAAAGATTGTATTTTTATTATGTATGTTTGTGTGCCTCAGTCCATGCATGTGCTAGACATGTGTACAAGTTCCCACAGGGGTCAGAGAGTGTGTCAGAACTCCTGAAACTGGAGTTACAGGCAGTTGTGAGCTGCCCAGTGTGGGTGCTGGGAAGCTAGATCCTCTTCAAGAATAGCAAGTGCTCTTAACCACTAAGCCATCTCTCCAGCCTATCTCAGCTTTTTGTTTGTTTTGTTTTTCGAGGCAGGCTTTCTCTGTGAAGCCCTGGTTGTCCTGGGACTCATTCTGTAGATCAGGCTGGCCTTGAACTCACAGAGATCTACCTGCCTTTGCCTCCCTAATGTTGGGATTAAAGGTGTGCACCACCACAGCCAGCTCTACTCAACTTCCTACAGCAGTTGTATAACCTTGGGCCTCTCCAGTACTCACAGGGGAGCACTGTTCAGCCACACTTGCTTTTCTCCGTCCCACTTGGCTTCACTGAAGTACCACTGGGGCTCTGGAGTGCCTTGGGCATTCTCTCCTGTCATACTCTATGCTCACTAATGTAACACCTCCTTGCAGGCAGTGCCCTTCCGGTGACAGCCTATGATAAAAACGGCTTCCGCATCCTTTTCCACTTTGCTAAGGAGTGTCCCCCAGGACGGCCCGATGTGCTGGTGGTGGTAGTGTCCATGCTGAATACAGCTCCCTTGCCAGTCAAGAGCATTGTGCTGCAGGCCGCAGTGCCCAAGGTATCCACCTCCCTTATCTTGAACCTACTATGTTGGCCGCCATTCAGTGGCCAGCAGGTCGCAGTGGGTCTCTCTCAGACACCTGGACCATTCCCTTCAAAGGAGCTTCTTTTTTATCTTCAGTCAATGAAAGTGAAGTTGCAGCCACCCTCTGGGACAGAACTTTCTCCATTTAGTCCCATCCAGCCACCTGCAGCCATTACCCAGGTCATGCTACTGGCCAATCCAATGAAGGTAAGCATGGGAGAATCCACAATACCCACCTGGTCCTGCTGCCCCGATTAGGACACAGGAGTGCCACCTCTGCGCCTCTTGTCTGAAGTCCTGGCATGATCTGTAGCAGTAACCCCTTCCTGTCCCAGGTTAAGGGACTGAGCATGGGTAGACATGGGTGCACAAGGTCCATCCCACCAGCAGAGTCAAGAGAGTGACCCACAGAGGGAACTCCTGGACTGATTCTCACCTGCAGTCCTCTATTACAGGAGAAGGTGCGTCTTCGGTATAAGCTGAGCTTTGCTCTAGGGGAGCAGCTGAGCACAGAACTGGGTGAAGTGGACCAGTTTCCTCCTGTGGAGCAGTGGGGGAACCTATGACCCCAGCAAGTGCTGTCACCTCTCCTTGGAAGGCAGGCAACCTGAGACAGGCTCTGTCTAGTCCAGCCACTGTACACCCTGACAGTGTTTCTAGTTTGGTGTAGACCAAGGCCCTGGACATTTATCAGGTGGCAAGCCACTGCTGTGATCATCTCTTCTTGGGCCCCTAAAAGGACCAGTTTTATCTGCCTGTGTGACTTGAAGTGGCCGTACTGTGTGGGTAGGGAGGCTGGTGGCTTCACTGGCTGCCCTGGGATGGTGGACTCTGGGCCTGGAGTGGGTTTTCACTTTTTTTACTGGTATCCCTTGATACCAGGGAGAGGGCTCCGAAGAGCGCCTTTCCAACCCCTTCAAGAACTGCATCTTTACATCCTGAAGAGGCATGGCATGGGAGACTATACCTCCCACTGGTGTTCCATGCTGCTTGGCTAGCAGGCACTCCTGCTGCCTGAACCAAAGTGGGCAGCAGTGGTCCAGAGTGAGAATCTGGAATATACTATAGAGTCTTCACTCCGTTTTCTGCAGGCAGCAGCATCCTGAAGTGGCTATTGAGTGAGTGACGTGCTTTTCCTGACAGTGGCAGGTTGTGTCCTATGGACATCTCAGCAGGACAGGGAACACGGCTTAATAGCCTCAACTAGGGATAGGAAGGGAAATGGAAGAGTGCCCAATGTTTCCCTTCAGAAGCAGGTACTGTGGCTTTCTGGGAAAAGCATATCTCCTGCAGTGGGAATAGGCCATCCTACTCACTACCTCTTGCTTGGCATGAAATAAACTGCTGTGTTTCCCTTAAGCCTTTAAGGGAAGACACCTCCTGCCACTCTGCATCCTCCTGCTTTGGTGACTCCCTCTCCCCGCCACATGGAATGTAGTGTGGCACATGTGGTTGGACCCAGGAAGTCTCAGGGTCACACACATTGCACTAGACTTTGTCCTTTTGTGCTGCACCAAAACACCCCCTTTTCCCCAGCTCCAGAGGGTGCTGTCAGCGACATGTTGGGTCTGGAAGTGATGAGATGAGGGGCCATGCTTGAACTGAATTACCAGACCCTATTGCTTCCACAGTGCTCGGCCTCACCTCAGCTAGCATGACCCAGCTGCTCCAGGCCAGAGACTTCAAGCTTCGAGACAACAGGGGGCTCAGCTGTCTGTTCCTTGGGAGAAGGAGGGTGACACAACTGTACCCCTGGTCCCCTACACCTGGGAGCATCTTTACTCTGTGTCTAGAGGTCATCTGACCTACCTCCCCACCACTGTCCTTAGCTAGCAGGTTTTACAGTTTCCTTACAACAGGTCAAAAGAATCATTTTCCCCAGTAATGGAATAAATCCAGGAGCTTTCCAGAGACTGGTTTACTCCAGCCCTGGAATATCTATGGGATTACTATGTGGAGACATACTTTTATAAACCTTCAAATATTTAAATTATGAGTGTTGCTCACTAACACAGAGGTCACTCTTCGTGGTCAACAACTGTACTGGATGATGTGCCACCTTCTGCCCTTGTTTTGCTGCATGTGAAATAAAACCATTTTCACCCAGCTTGGAATCCTTCAATACAGAACACAGTTCATCCTGACGGGAAGACAGTATGCGAACTCCAGACAGGTTTTTGAAGTCTTGCTGAAGGAAGATAACCGAGGAAGTTAGGTGGAGTGTGTTCCGGGTCATTGGCTGAGTAGGGTAAGACCTCAGCAACAAACATTGCCAAACTTTCCATTTGGGCAGGAAGATGCTGCATGTGCCAGCCCTGTGGTGCTCTAAGAGACCATTCTCTAGCCATGAGCTCAGGGGCCAGGTGTAGCACACGCTACTTGACACAGCCAGCTGTGAGGTGTGGCAATATCCATCTCAAAAACAGAACAAAACACAGTTTGTTCATTTTTGCCACTAGTTCAGGATAGACAAAAACTCCTTCGTCAGACTAATAACTGGACTTGTATTTGCAAAAGAGAATTTATTCCTTTAAAATCTATTTACATCACCATACAAAGTTACTATATTGCAACTACTGTCCACGGCTTATCTCAGGAACCTTCCAGTGAGCCTTCTCTTATAATCGCCCGAGCAAGATTCCGAGCAAGAGCCAGTCTCAGCATTTCCACCTTGGTGGTCTCTATGTCGTCATCCTGAAGAGCAGAAAGGCAAGGTGAGGCACAGCAGGCATTGTTCTCTAATGCTTTCAGGGAACACAGAGCAGTCACGGTCAGCCTAAGACCAGGATGCTATGGGTGGCTCTTGCCATGGATGGCAGAAAGGATAGGAAGACTAGAACCATCCACTTGCTCTTAAAAATGGGGATGTCACAGACAGCTTAATAACTAAAAGCACATGAGTTCATAAGGGGCTAATGCTCAGGACCACAGGAGAGTGGAGGGAAATCCCCAGACAGAAACCTTTTCCTACTTGAGCATGGAACCACCTCCCCAAAGTTAAAATGACCTGGAGTCGCTGGGCATCAGGCTCACCACACCCTGGCCTCCCTGAGGCCAAGTCTTCCAGGCAGCGCATCAGCTCATATGTCTGCTCTGCTGAGAAAATCACCTAGGGGAAAGAGGCCGATTCACTTAGCTGCTCCCCAGGCAGAGCCTGTTTGGGCTAGGTCCAAATTCACAGAAGACCTTCCTTCTAAGGACTTGAGGAGAATGCTTTGCATACAGAGCCCTGGGCTGCTGCTGTGGCTCCTAGTCTCACATCCACCCCTCTAGTCAGGCTCAGCACCACTGGCAGATAGCATCACTTTGGCTTTTCTTTCATGAGTCCTATAATAATACACTTGCATGCACAGAAGTACTTGGGAGGAGGCATATATGAACCAAGCTAAGGAGGACCACCAAAGGACAGAATACATTGCTTAGAAGTGGAGCCTTACCTGTTTCTGTTCCAAAAGAGGTAGGGCATCTGTCAGCAGAGTCATCCAGAAAGAACGGGGTGCGATCTGAGAGGTCATGAGGGACAGCAGAAGAGAAGCAGCGTCACCAAAGCGCTTCTCCCCGTACAGTCTGTGGAACTCTCGGTACTTCCCTGTTGGGAGAGGCGCGAATTCACCTGAACATTCCTCTCCACTTACCTGAGACTTAGAAAAGGCACCCTGGCCTTAAACTAGAACTCCATACACTGGGATGTTTGTAGAGCAGTCGAAGTTCACAGATAAATGAAATGTAGGATTCAAAGACAGGCATTTAGGAACACCAATTCTGGGGAAATGTCAGCACTGTAATAGACTACAAGAAGTCAGAAGAAGACTGAAAAGATGGTTCCGTGGTTAATTGTATGAACTGTTCCTACAGAGTACTTGGATTCAGTGTCCAGCACCCATAGGACAGATCACAATCATCTGACTCTAGTCCCATGAGACCCCATACCCTCTTCTGGCTTTACATACATGCAGGCAGAACACCCACATACAAAACAGAAGTTTAAAAAACAGGATAAAAGGGCTGGAGAGATGGCTCAGTGGTTAAGAGCACTGGCTGCTGTTCCAAAGGTCCCGAGTTCAATTCCCATCACTTACATGGCAGCTCATAACTAACTCCAGTTCCAGAGGATCTGACACCCTCACACAGACATACATGTAGGCAAAACATCAATGCACATAACAATTTTAAAAGGAAAAAAAAAAAGATTAAAAAACTCTGAGTCCTGGTGATACACATGAAATGGAGGGAGAAGTTCATCTCTTCCTGCAGTGAACTGCCAGCTCACACAAGGGATGAGAAAATGTCTGGTGGAAGTGTGATGGGAGACTGGACATGGAAACCATTCCAGACTTTCTCTAGGCCCATAATCCCAGCCTTAAAGAAGTGAAGCAAACAGATTTCTATGTTTGGTTTGTTTTTGTTTTTGTTTTAGGATTTATTTTTTTTTTTATGCGCATTGGTGTTTTGCCTATATGTATGTATGTATGTGTGAAGGTGTCAGATCCTCTAGAACTGGAGTTACAGACAGTTATAAGTTGCCATGGGTACTAGGAATTAAACTTCGGTCCTCTGGAAGGGCAGACAGTGCTCTTAACCACCATCTCTCCAGCCCCCACATTTCCATGTTAGAGGGTAGGGTGGTCCACATAGCGATCTCCAGGACAGCCAGGGCTACACAGTGAAACCCTGTCTTAAAAACAAAAATGAGTATGAAAAGTGTCATTCCTTGTGACATTTCTACATTTCCGTAAGTTTGGAATTACTTGAAAATAAAACGTTACCAAAACTCTGCCAAGTAGGTTTCTAAGCAGATTGGAGAAATCTAGAAAGATGGTTCCCTCCTACTCAGGGAAAAGAATACAGACTCACCCAAGAATGTCAGCCGATCACTGAGCATCATGGCTGGCCCCAGGTTGTCAATGAGATCCAAGTCAGAAAAGCAGCCTCTCTCACAGTAATCCCTGAGGAATCTGCAGGACCCAGGCCAGAGGTTAGAGCAGCAGCACTAGGCCCTCCTCAAACTCCCACCTCCCAGCCAACCAGAAAACTGCACCCACCTGTCAGATACGAGCGTGGCAAAAGCAGCGTCTTTGGCACGGATGCTCCACGAGAGGGCTGAGCCCAGGCGGTTGTTGCGGACAGCCTTCATGGCCAAGATCTTACAGATGCTTCGAACTTTCAGGGGAGAAGACAAAAGGCAAAGTCTTAGACCTCATAATCTCTCCCGTGAAGAGCCCTCTGGGACAGACGCGGCCAACCTACAGCCTCTACAATCTAAAGAACTATGGGCTCAATGTACAGCTAAGTGAGAAGAACCAGAAACTTAATAGGTTAACTTCTCCCCCCCCCCCCCCCAAGATGATTTCTCTGTGTAGCCCTGGCTGTCCTGAAACTCAGTCTGTAGAGATCCACCTACCTCTGTCTACCAAGTGCTGGGACTAAAGGTGTGCACCATCACTGCCCAGCTCATAGTTTATTCTTGCTGTCTTCACTCTGCTCAGTACCAAAGATGACCCATCCACTAGACAGGCTTTCTGAGTGTTTGTGCTTGAGTGGCAAAAAAGGTCTCAGTACCCACCCCATAATAGTTCTACCATTATCTGTCCAGAGACCACAAAATCTACCTTCCTTCCTTCAGGTCTTGAACACCATGAGCTTCCAAGTGACGGTTTAAGTGTACAAGTGCTTCTTATTCAGCAGTAGTAGGAGTACAAGGACAAAGCCATGGACAGCTGTCCCTGCCGCTGTGCTCCTGCCCAGCTTCCCCACTGCTCCAGGTTTTGCTGGAGCAACCACCCACCTACAGCTACATATGACTCTCAGCTCTGACCACAGGCCACATGGAATGTGAGGATAGGTAGATCTTTTCTAAAAGGAAAAAGACTGATTTTTCTAGGTTTTAAAGGGCAACTCCAACTCTTCTGTCCCTCCCTGATGTGGCCCTGTGTCTGGGCACGTACCATACACCATCTCTACGGTGTGGCAGTGAGAGGTAAGCTGTCACAGTATTTGGGAGCTGTGCTCAGCCTAAGGATGCCCTGACAAACCAGAAGATGGGCTGGGAGGAACTGGGACTCACCTTGTTCAGTCATCTGCCGCTGCTCACAGACCCTCAGCACCTTCAGGGCTTTCTGCTCTGTGTTGAGGGGAATCCGCTCTATGTGCAGCTCCAGGGAAACGCGGCCCAGCTCTGGGCAGTGGTCAAAGTAATCCACCCCCAGCTGCCACAGGCTAAGGTCCAAGGAAGGCAGAGGTTGAGAGGCTAGATGGGCTGCCCGATGGCTCTGGGCATTGCCACCCAACGCTCATCCTCCCAACCCTTGAAACCAGTCGAGAGAGCAGTGAGACTCCACTGGCATCCACAAGGTCACTACCATTTGTGGGGCCTTCCTACCTGTGATGAGCAAAGAGTCCTGAGGCATATTCCAGCAGAAGGAATTCTCTCATGTTAGAACCAAAACTGGAAAAAAAAAAAACAACACAGGACTGCAAGCCTGCCCTCTTCAGGGCTCCAGCAACCTAACCTGCTCCTGTGCCTCCTACTGGCCCTCCCTCAAAGGCCTGGTGACATAAGGAGGGTCAATGCATCTGGCCAACTTACTAGAGGTTGTGTGACTGGAGGAGTCTGCAGTGATCCAAAAGGTCGGTGAGGTGAGCTACGAACCACCAGTTGCTCAAGGCAATGCTGCAAATCCAGACAGCAAGCAAAAAGGAAGTCAGGGAAGGGACCAGATCACATGACTGAGATGAGCAGGAAACCCACACATCCTATGCTTTAAAAAGACAAAACAATTGGGCAAAGAAATGGCTGAGGGAAAGGTCCTGATGCCAAGCATGATGATCTAATCTTAATCCCTAGGACGCACATAATAAAGAGAACCAACTCTCAAAAGCTGTCCTTGGACCTCTACTGGAAACATCAGGGCATGTATATGTGTGTATGTGCGACATGCTCAAAATTAAAAACAAAAAACAAAAAGCCTCCTGGTGGTGGAGGTGGTGCACCCCTTTAATCCCACTGCTTGGGAAGCACAGGCAAACAGACTTCTCTGAGTTTGAGGCCAGCCTGGTCTGCAATGCTGCGGAAAATCCTTTTGTACACTGTGAAGATTTGTCACTGT